ACCTCAGATCATGACAAAAACATATGTAATATGTGCTTCTCCTGTGTTTTACTTTTTATGGATGATGACATTTAGTAAAGTACACGTAGAAACAATTCTTATTTAAAACTAAAAATCTGAGTTAAGTTCTTACAATCCCCACCCAACATGTGTCATTGCTTCCAGCAAAAGGTGGAAATCCCTGTTTTTGCCTGGATAATTACAGAATGTAAATCTCTAAAACATTTGGAGTCAAGATGATTCAAGATGGCTGCCAATGCTAACTAATGCAACCACAAACATAACTTTAACTTTGATAACTTTACACATATAGAGCTACATTTTGCATGGTAGTAGCTGGAAGTTGCTCACATCACATACTGGTAAAACTTGAAACATGAGAATATGGTGCAGAAGTTCGATTATGTCAGTAATTTTGTCTAACTCCGCCTTTCCACTGAGAACCACGTACTTGTTAATTTTCTCCTTCCCTTTCCTTACATTTTTAGCACAAATTTTGTTTTTCCTTTTAAGATATTTTTAAATCATTTTTGAAATCTTTTTTATTTTATTTATTTTTTGTTTTTGTGAAGCGTCTCATGATTCTTATTATGAGAAGTTTTATATAAAATATTCTAATCTTCTTCTAATTCATCTTAAAAGGTGAAACTAATATATGAGATAGACTTATCACATATAAAAGCCAGATATCTCAAGCCTTTATTTTTTACTTGTGATGATTCTGGCTTACAGTTTATGAAAGCGTCACATTCAAAATCTCAGACAATTTGTATATTGTGAAGAGGTTTAATATTCTAGACGCACACTCTAATCAGCTAATGAACCCAAAACACCTGCAAATGGTTCTTGAGCCTTTATATGGTCTCTTTTGCGCCATAATCTAATTTCTTCAGGCCTGTGGCTCCTCACACTTTCTGTTGGACACTCATGTGGACAAACCTTACATACACAAGCGTGTGTACACACAGGTGCTCTCATGGTACTCTCACATGTATGGACTGTATTTTTGACACATTGCCTTTTTTCTGAGGTTGGCACTAAATGCACCATGAATTAATTATTACTGTGTCTGTGTGCTTTTCAGCAAAAAGTGTTACTGTTATATCTCCTAATGTTGTTTGGTGCAGTGATATTTCCAACTCTTGGAGAGTACAGACACTTTTTTCCTCCTCTCCTCCCTATCTTATCCCAAGGCTCTTTGTCTGTCTTCGGGTGTACGGCGCTTCTGCATTTTTTCTGGAAACTGGAAATTATTAAAATTGGACCTGGTCAGTTGGTCTCTCAACGCGATTGACAAAATTTTTTCAACGATGAGAATGGGAGAAGGGGCTCCCGGATACCCCTCTGGGACAGAGCCAGCTGGGTATATCATGGACTCCTGGAAACAGTGGAACCTGATCTGCCTCTCTCACCTTTCTGTAGAGGATTCTGAAGACATCTGGATATTCGTGGTGTTGGTGTCAGGTTTCTTTCTGTTTGGCCTGAGCGGTTACCTGGCTTAACGGAAAATTAACGAGCGTTCGAGGAATATTGGCTCGATCCCGGAGCTCAGGGAACTGTGCACTGTGAACGCACAAACTCATATAATTGTCGAGATGAGTCGTAAGCTTGGAACTTTGGCTGAGATTCAGACTCTGGCACAGAAGGTGGATTCAATCAAAGAGAGAGTTGACGGGACAGCACGGTTGGGAATAGATTAATTTACGCCAGTATTGGATCGAGAGGGGTTGGAGACCAACAGAACTTTGACAGAGAGGAAATTATCTCTGGCCCCAAAACAAGTTCTTATCTGAATCTGCCGCCCTTGAGGCTGTGAGGCTGAAGTGATTACTCCCCCTCAGAAGAAATGTGGAATGCTGCCTTCGCCGTGGCAAGTCTGTCTCCCTATCCCAGCCTGGACGGGACTGAGACCGGTGAAGGTTGTGGAACCGTTTCGAGGAGTCACTGTGCTTTCTAACACAATTGCCTCCCTCCCCTGTCCAAATGGAGGTGACGAGCGCTGCTCATTGCAGCTGCATGCACTGATGTGAGGAGAGTCCCCAACCCTACCTCCCCACCTAGTGGACACTTATGTTGTGTGATGTCTGAAGTCTGTTGCATTTCTGTCTGAGGTGTTTTTTTGCATAGCAAAGCTGCCCTCCCTGTGGAGGGTAACTCTGAAGTGCCTTTTTTTCCCTCCACCTGACTCAATCCTAGTAGCGCGACTCGGGCTGCGAATGACCACAGTCATCAATTCTTGTTACAGTGGGGCAAAAAAGTATTTAGTCAGCCACCGATTGTGCAAGTTCTCCCATTTAAAATGATGACAGAGGTCAGTAATTTTCATCATAGGTACACTTCAACTGTGAGAGACAGAATGTGAAAAAAAAAAATCCATGAATTCACATGGTAGGATTTTTAAAGAGTTTATTTGTAAATCAGGGTGGAAAATAAGTATTTGGTCAATAACAAAAATTAGACTCAATACTTTGTAACATAACCTTTGTTGGCAATAACAGAGGTCAAACGATTACTATAGGTCTTTACCAGGTTTGCACACACAGTAGCTGGTATTTTGGCCCATTCCTCCATGCAGATCTTCTCGAGAGCAGTGATGTTTTGGGGCTGTCGCCGAGCAACACGGACTTTCAACGCCCTCCACAGATTTTCTATGGGGTTGAGGTCTTGAGACTGGCTAGGCCACTCCAGGACTTTCAAATGCTTCTTACGGAGCCACTCCTTTGTTGCCTGGGTGGCGTGTTTGGGATCATTGTCGCGTTGGAAGACCCAGCCACGTTTCATCTTCAAAGCTCTCACTGATGGAAGGAGGTTTTGGCTCAGAATCTCACGATACATGGCCCCATTCATTCTGTCCTTAACACGGATCAGTCGTCCTGTCCCCTTAGCAGAAAAACAGCCCCAAAGCTTGATGTTCCCACCCCCATGCTTCACAGTAGATATGGTGTTCTTGGGATGCGACTCAGTATTCTTCTTCCTCCAAACACGACGAGTTGAGTTTATACCAAAAAGTTCTACTTTGGTTTCATCTGACCACATGACATTCTCCCAATCCTCTGCTGTATCATCCATGTGCTCTCTGGCAAACTTCAGACGGGCCTGGACATGCACTGGCTTCAGCAGTGGAACACGTCTGGCACTGCAGGATTTGATTCCCTGCCGTTGTAGTGTGTTACTGATGGTGACCTTTGTTACTGTGGTCCCAGCTCTCTGCAGGTCATTCACCAGGTCCCCCCGTGCGGTTCTGGGATTCTTGCTCACCGTTCTCATGATCATTTTGACCCCACGGGATGAGATCTTGTGTGGAGCCCCAGATCGAGGGAGATTATCAGTGGTCTTGTATGTCTTCATTTTCTGATAATTGCTCCCACAGTTGATTTTTTCACACCAAGCTGCTTGCCTGTTGTAGATTCACTCTTCCCAGTCTGGTGCAGGTCTACAATTCTTTTCCTGGTGTCCTTCGAAAGCTCTTTGGTCTTGGCCATAGTGGAGTTTGGAGTCTGACTGTTTGAGGCTGTGGACAGGTGTCTTTTATACAGATAATGAGTTCAAACAGGTGCCATAAATACAGGTAACGAGTGGAGGACAGAAAAGCTTCTTAAAGAAGACGTTACAGGTCTGTGAGAGCCAGAGATTTTCCTTGTTTGAAGTGACCAAATACTTATTTTCCACCCTGATTTACAAATAAATTCTTTAAAAATCCTGCCATGTGAATTCATGGATTTCTTTTTCACATTCTGTCTCTCACAGTTGAAGTGTACCTATGATGTAAATTACTGACCTCTGTCATCATTTTAAGTGGGAGAACTTGCACAATTGGTGGCTGGCTAAATACTTTTTTGCCCCACTGTATGTGTCTATGTCTATGTATGTATGTCTGATCTCAGAATTGTGTGTACTGAAACTCTAATTTCCCTCTGGGATTAATAAAGTATCTTTGAATTTGAATTGAATTGAATTTTGGTTCTGTTGTATAGTGTGTCCCTTTTTTCCTCTCTCTCTTTCTGCAGGTCTAGAAGCGGATTCTTATACATCATTTACTGTTTTTTTTCGTGTGTGAACTTTGTCCTCCATCTCCTTTTTTTCTCTCCCTCCTTTCTCTTTCATTTCTGTCTCCGTGGCCATTGGGATTAAAATAAACCTAAAGCATTTTTAATAAAGTTTTGTTATCAGGTAGGGCATTATAGCTGAATGTATACTGCTCCACCCTTGAGATTAAAACTGTAAGTCTTGTTTTTGACACTCGGACATCGTTTTGATTGCTTTACAACCATACAGGACCCGGGGAGATAAAAATAAAACTCTGACATAATAGGTAGAGGATGATATATGTTGTAGGGTTTGCTAGTTTAATCTTAAATGCTAATAAAATACATTTTAACATTTTCAGTGCAAAATTTGAAATAACTGAGGTGATGTGTGGCTAAATTTGCAATGTAATTTTTTTGTTCAAATATGTGGTTATTGCCAAGTTTGAAACCTTGCATCTGTTTGTCTGAATGCTTCTGTAGCATTGTGGGTGTTGAGGCATTGCCAGTGGCTTGGCATGCAGCTTGTTGTATATCTTCTCCTAAAGTGGCTGCTCTGACTGGCTGCTCTTAATGCAGCTGTAAATCAGACTGCTGGAGGCCTGGCTGTTGGACTACAGAAAGTTCCTCCAGCCTCAGAATCCCAGCATCATGACCAGTCCTTCGACATCCCAGGCAACATCACTCAGATCTGCCATGAATTCTTTATGCCGCTTGTGCCAGCTGTAATTATCCTTCAGTATTTATCATGACGGATTCCTTTAGCTCAATACTCATTTTTCTGCAAGTTCACCACCAAGATGGAGATTGTTGTCGATGTTTTCTATCTTGAGTTTAATCTTATTGAAAGAAAACAAATAAAATTAATCAATTCTTGATAATTGATTATCCTTCTGTGTTTAATATTTGACCCATTTTGTTCTCTTTTCTTCCTTCTCTCCTCCTTGTTGGTTTCTGCTTGATTTGGATCCTCAGCACAGCCAAATATAACGCCCTCACCTTCCTTCCTCGATTCCTCTACTCACAGTTCAGGAGGGCAGCCAACGCCTTCTTTCTCTTCATTGCACTCCTGCAGGTAAGATGAAGTATTTTTGTTGCTTTTGACAGAAATGACCACAAAAACATCTGGAACGTTTTACATCAGGCCACTTCTCGTATTTACAGTTTACCCTGGTTCCTGTAAATACGCTTCTGTATGGTTTTGTTTTTCTCCTCTTTGTGATGACCTAGACGCCGTTTCCTTGAAGGTCATGGCTGTAATTCCATACGCGCACACATAACCTTTCACAGATGCAGAGATTTTTATATAGCCTGATAATGAATAATACATGTAATACTCTGCAACTCAAAAAGAGCTACTCTTACTGACAAAGTCAACACAATAGTACCGCTTGTTTGATGGTGCTTCAGTGTTTGTGTTTCTTTGTTTGAGTGCTGCCCTGCTTTAACTTTCTATGATGTGGAACATAAATATAGCAGGCTTTATTTGGACGTATCTAATGTTAAGTGTGTTTCTATTTTTAGATCATCTATAGCTGAAATCTGTATGTCAGGTATCTGAAGCTTACAGCACAGAACAGAAACTAGGGTACACAGACTTGAGCTTTTGTCTTGATACAAAAGCTGACAGGATGTCCCACTTTAACGAGAGCACGGCGGATGGGAAAATACTTACTTCAGTGTTCGTTGAAAAGCAGCCAGCGTGAATCTTCATTTCCTACCCAGTCGATGTTGCAACCTTGAATAAAACATCGAAGCAGAGACACAAAATCAATTTTGCTCAAATTTCTTTCCAGCAATAAAACACCAGCAAACTCATTTCAGCTACATATCCTCTAATATGTCATGAAAACCACGACAAAAGATAGAAAGTTACTTACTGTAACGGTCAGATGGTATGTTACCAGTTAGCGTTGTACTAGCTTGGGCTATTTATTAAGATTAATAATTAAATGATAGTTGCACAGATTATTTTCTCACACCTGGTATAGAAATAAAGTTCTTCAAGTTGTAGTGGTCATCTTCTGAAGTAGGGTTCACTAAAATGTTATCAATTTCTGGTCTATTGTAGATAGCTCTGTTAATGGTCCCAGTCATAGAGTATTCACCATATTCATACAACAAACAGGAATGTAATGGGAAGTCAGTGATGGTGTACCAGCTTATAAATAAAGTTTGTACAAATTGTTGTGGAACTTTTGACATTAGAACTGTTTTGAGACTGCAGAAACACGTTGTCATGGCAATGCAAAGGCCACATTAATTATTTTTGTAGTGACTTATTTAATTTAATTTATTTATTTAATTTAATGTAATGTAATTTTATTTTATTTATTTTATTTTTAAAACATTTTGCATATGTTTGACTAAATGTAAAGATAAAAGAAAACCCATTGATTATGCCTTCTTAAGATAAATATTAAGATCATTAATGGACGACCAGTTTTTTTTTTCAAGTTTCAAGAATTTTTAGAAAATAAAAGTTCAAATTTTGTCCTTCAGCAAATCCCAGACGTGTCTCCTACCGGCCGCTGGACCACACTGGTGCCGTTGCTCTTCATCCTGGTGGTGGCTGCAGTCAAAGAGATCATTGAAGATCTGGTACGACAAACACCAAGTTTGTTCATAAGTTTTAGGTTTGATTGTTTTTATTCAGTTTGCTAAATTTTGTAATTTTTCTTTTCAGAAATCCAGATTTGAACAATTATGCAGATTGTAATTTTTGAAATTAACACACATTTGATAAGAAATAAAAGTGTTTATTTTGTAATGCAAACAAAATATGAGCCATTAAAACATGGTTTACAGAAACTGTTACATTCACATCAGCAAATCCTTATTTAAAGACATCACTGTCAGAAACCATCAAAGGACAACCAGCGTACTTCTGGAGATCCAGTTTTAATATAGTTTAAATCTGCTTTATAAGATATTTCATAAATAAAAATGTAAACGAACCTACGTTGGCCAGACAATAAAAATGACAGTTTAGTATAAATAATGTTTGTTTTTCGGTTCCTTAACATCCGTGAGCAATTGCTGAAAAATCTCTCAGAACGTTGTGTGTTGCAGGTTACCTGTACGATCTTAGTCTAAACTTTTTGCTGTTCTTAGATGTTCAATAGACTGGAAGGTCAACATTTGGGCTTTTTACACGTTCCTTGATTCCTTCCTAAATGTAATGTGTTTTATTTTTACCTAGAATTGTCCTGCTGAGGTTTTCCTCATCATTTCTCATGATTATACCTAATATATTGTGACATATCAACAGGAGCTGTCTAAATTGACCTGTTAAACTTTCCTTAAGTTACCCAAAAAAAAAAGTATTTGAGTGAAATATGTCAAGAGTAGTTGAAGTAACTAGAAAGGGGTATCCACCTCTGACTGTCGCTGTGCACCACGTCCCTAACAGAAACGAGGCAGTGGTGATTATCTGTCCGCAGCAGGATTCTACCCAACATCACACATCATCACACGCAGTTGTTCAAACGTGCACGTTTATTCCACGGGCCCCAGCTGTGCCCACTGGACGCGAGTACCCATTCAGTCTATTAACCTAGATACAGGGTGCTCATGCACAAACAAGGTTAGAACTAACAAAACAAAACAACTGTCTGCCCCCGAGCAAGTCTGAGCTGTCGAACAGATGCTTGAGAGCAACTGTGTAGGTTATTTGGTGTCAGGGCATTTCTCGTTATCGTTTAAATGTCCCTCCTGAAGAGCTGGAAGCTGTCAGAAGAGGGTAATGTTGGTATTTCTGTTTAGACTGCTACTTTGTGACCCAATTTGGGAGACATCAAAAGATAAATCCACAAAACATTGATGGACCTTTGGTGTATTTTAAAAGACAGATTTTGGCCTTTGTGTGTAATCTACTCTTCTCAGCAAAGTGAGAGAATGTAGTATTTTTCTGTATTGCAGTGACACTGCAATGCGACCCCCTGTGCAGGTCCCAGTGGAGAGTTACACTATACTATCCTGTAGCGCCCATCGCATGCCGAAGGGGCCAGCGCAGCACTTTTTCTCTTGGACTGTTGTGAAAAACATGGAAACAGAGTGGTGATGACTCCATCCTTATTGCTGAAGGTCACCTGTGCACACGTCTGCTCTGTGCGCTCCGCTGTCCCTCACAAGTTGACCTGACAGGGCAGCATCGACCCCTAACTTCATGAATCATGCACCACAGACACGCAGCTCATGCTTTCCTCGGCTGTCTCGGCTGCAGCAGGTCCGGGCTGCTTGTCCAGAGTTGCTGTGCTGTCTTTCAGCTGAAAATGTGACATAATTAAGAGCAAAACCGTGTAAAATCAGCTGCAGTGTGTTTTAAAGTGTGGGTTTTCACATCCTATCATTTGCCTCACACTCACAAAACCCAAAACTGTAACTTTGCAAAGAAGCTGCTTTTATCTTTTGCAGCTTTTTTTTCTACATTTGCCAGTATGTCAGAAGTCTGTAGTACTTTTACATAACCCCGGCTTCACTCACTCTCTGCTGCATTGTGTTTACACACACAGGGTATCCTTCTCTCTTCATCCTCTGTGACAGAATAAAGGATTAGCATTAGAATAAGGAATTTGGTAACGAGTGAAAAGCAGCACAAGTTGCACAGTTCTTCAAACAAATCTATGCTCCAGCACTCCCCCATGCAGAGAAGGATCTATATAATAACGTGGAAAACCAGCTGTTGTGGAGAGCATGATGAATGAGCTTTGTGAAGGCTTCTGTTAGCAACAAGTTGAGTTTTTATTGAGGTCAGAGAAAAAGTGAAACCATGTGGCACAGACAAGCCTATTCATTAGACACTGCAGCACGTTGCAGGGACATTCAGCTAAATGCCATTCAGCTGGAGCCTGGAGAAGTAGATGGGAGGGAAAGGAATGGACACACCAGAGGGGACACTGCAGTTCATTTGTTAAAGGAGACATAATAGATTTAAGCGGAGTTCCTCTTGTTTTGTTGTCATCCACTGGAATGTGATATTAGAGCACTGGATAGGACAAAAGAACACAAAACTCTTACAAAAATGAATGCACCTAATCATGGCTGATTAGAAAAATATCTGACAAAGTTTGATCCCAGCTTCATAATTAGTTTTTTTTTTTTGCGACTGTAAGGATTGTAGCTTGAGTGGCAGTCATGGAGAAGGGAATTAGTTTGAAATTGAATTAGACTAAATTGATAAGGATATGCTGGTCTTGTAAACAGGTTGTTAGCAGAAATATAAGTGGAGTTGTCCCCTCCTCACTAATCAAGAAGAACACACGTTGCTCCCAGGAGCTCCGTTTTAAAAAGCAGTAATCATGTTAATGAGATGGACGCAGCAACACGTTATTACTCAGCGTGATGCTAGCTGACAAGCTGTCCCTTGAAATCAGCCATACAAGTCACAGTTGATTGCACGACTGTTTAGCAAACAAGCAGGACATGAAGTCATGGTCATACACAGACTCGATACTTTGTCCAAGAAGCTAAACATCAACATAACTTAGTCAATCGTCAGCGTTCTCACAGAGCTTATATCAGCGCTTTAATCCTACTTGCAGGGAGAACTTGTTAAAGTCACAATATGTAAGAATTCTACAGCGAAATAATCGCAGTCTAATGTCTCAGTCATGTTGGTTACGAAGGTTACACTTAAACAGATTTCCTTCTCAGCCGTCTGAATTATTGTCAGTATTTCTCTTTTCTCAGAAGATGGATGCAGATGTCCTGCCTCTATTCTTCCTGGTTTCAAAGCCAGTTATGCGTGAGCCTGCAAGGACACCAAGTTTTTAAAAGAAACACGGCGCTGATATTTGTAATTCGACACCAGCTGACACAAAGCAGCAGCATGGAAAGAATCAAAGCCAGTAAAAGGAGCGACCCAGAAGTTATTTCTTGTACCCCTAAGAAGCCCTGGCAACTTTTTGTTTTACTCCATTATCAAGCAAAGAAAGCTAGAGGCTAACGTCGAGCTAACAATGCTAACGGTGAATTAGGAAAAAATAGTCTCTAAAAATATCTTAAGCTACTTATTTTTCAATCACCAACAACTCAGTATTACAGCAAAATGTATTTATTAACTTAACAAACCCCTACTTCACACTGGAAGTGTCATCAGTGCTGAAGCAGTGGAACATCACTGCTTCAAATTAGAATCCATTATAGTCTACGGGGGTGATTCAAAAATTTTAGGTGTCCATTGTCGTCAATACAAGTTACCTAACGGTTTATTTACTTCTAGCATCATTCCATAAGTGCAACAGATTTTTCCATGGGTTTAATCCTGGCAGTGGACAGGAACAACATCATATCATCAAAGAGTGATATCAAATGTAATTTCCTTCTTTTTGGTTTAATGACGGATGGCCTAAACTCGGGGGATATTATGATCTTGCGAGTCCAGCAAAGAGCACGACAGAGAAGCCGCCTCATGACTGATATGCTCCCAGTGTGTACTGGCACGCAGCAAGTCACAAGTAAACTGTTCTGTTCCGCTGATGCTTCCAGTGTGAAGTAGGGGTTACTGCGTATGACTCGTCTTCGCTCGTCATTTAGAAACTTCTGGTGCAGAGTCATAACTGGCAACAGTAGCTCAGAGTGGACTCGTTTGTTTTGATACGTGGACTGCAGTACCCACATTTGACCACACGTTCTTCTTACTCCATACACCTTTAAAGTTTCAGGTTTAACTTGATATTTTGGGACCAGAAATGGTTTTACTGTAGATTGCTTCTTTGGGTTAGCTTACTGAACGAGCACTGGGCTTTTGTTTGCTTGTGGGAAACTCTAGAGTTCATCTTCCTTGTTTTATAACTTTTTTTTTTTTACAGAAACGCCACAATGCTGACAACGTTGTCAACAAAAAGGAATGTCAAGGTACTGATAATACGTTCTCATCCAGAGTAAACCTCATGACTGTTGGGTTTAGTGAAAGAAAAAGTGCTCTAGTTTTAGCACGGGATAGAGGGTTTATCTTACTTTCTCAGTGGCCTAGTGACTGGGAGATCGGGGTTCAAATCCTGGTCGGGTCATACCAAAGACTTAAAAAAAGGGACCCAATGCCTCCCTGCTTGACACTAAGGTTGGATTGGTGGGTTAAACCACCAAATAGTTCCCGTGTGCAGCCACAGCTGCAGCTAACCACTCCCCTCGGGAGTCAAGTGTGGAGATGACTTTCACCAGTGTGTGATGATGACTAATGGGACTTTAATCTTTAACTTCATATTGCAAGAAATCAATGAAGTCATTGTTAATTTCCCTTTTTCTGTTGCTGTAACCTTTTCTGACCACAGTGCTGAGGAATGGTGCCTGGGAGATCGTACACTGGGAGAAGGTATGTACCTGCAGTTTGTTTCTGTGTCTCGATCTAGTTATGTGGAGCTGAAAACAGCTAAACATTCTTTGCGCTGTTGTCATTGGGGAAACCTTACACGCACGCACACACACACACACACACACACACACACACCTTTACACTCTGACCTTCTCTAGTACGCAGACTAAGCTAATTAACACAGCGTTTCCATGTGGATGGTTTTTGGAAGGCAAAGCTGGAGGACAAAGAGCAGCTTCCACTTTCTTTCTCATCATCAAACCAATTTATTTCTGTGGTCTGAACTTTAGGGCTGAAAGCAGTACGTGTGCAGACCAAACACCAGACTGTTGGACCTAACTGGTAGCACTTTCTGTCTGAAGCTTGGTTTTGCTTGTTGGACAAATAAACCAGAGATTTTAAACCTTTTCCTAGAAACGTTTAGCTGATATTACGTTTCTTCTGATGTCTTTAACAGATGATTCTGTTAACATATATTAAAACTGCAGCACTATGGGTCTGCAGAACGTACATGTGCACAATATCCATCTGGGTGTAATTTTAGTATATAAGTAGCATATAGCATACAAGTATGATAAATGATGATATGTATGGTGGTGTTCTGAGTCAGAGGACTCCAAAGCTCTTTACACTGCAGTGAATCATTCATCCATTCACTCTCACATTCACATGCTGGTGATGATGTAGCTACAGCTGCTCTGGTGCACTGACAGAGACTAGGCAACCGAGTACAGGCGCAAATGGTCCTTCTGCTCTGACCACCACCAAAAGGCTAGGGGAGGGAAGCATCTTGGCCAAGGACATACCGACTCACACGACTGAGGGAGCCACGCAGGCTGAACGTGAAAATTGTCTTCTACACTTATCTCTTTAGCTTCTGATAGAAAATAGAGGGGGAACCGCTTGGTTCAAAAAAGCCCGTGACATCTACGTCACTCTGTCTCTTAACATTCATGGCCTCACCCATCTTGACTCATGACGAGGAAGGCTATTGTTGGGTTAGTGTCCAGGAAGCAGCAGAGAACGTCTCAGCCAGTAGAAGCTAACCATTAGCATTAGCAACTAAACCACATGGCAGAACTCCTTCAAGGTTGTGTTATTTGTGGAGATAAAACATCAACGTTGCAGCGCAGAGTCAGTGGTGAAGTCTTGCTGCTGTTAGCCAATCAGAGGTGAGATGTCCGAGTATCAGGAAATAAACCTCTAAATCCTGCCATCCTAAGCTACTTTCTCCTCCAGCTGACTTCCGCGTCCTTAAACACGCACACCAGAGCTCCCCCCCCCCCCCAGAGAATTACTTACAAAGTATTCGTTCCTGCTAGAGCCCAAAATATGAGTAAAGTTGACCTTTAATTTATTGTGGCTAAAATTTTGGTCCAAGTCATCAAATTTGCGTTGGAAGTGGGCAGAGAGGAAAGGAGAACTAAATAAATCTCACTGAAAGAAGCGGTCATGGTGGCAAAATAACAACATAAAACTAGATTTACTTTCTGAATGGAACTATGACCCAGGTGTACTTCCACATTCTAGTTTCCTGAATGTTGAAAACTCCTTAAGTCAGCTGAGTAGATGTGGATTTTGTTGGTTTCAAAGCTACAAATCCAATAAGTGAATGAACAGTTTGGCAGCACCCATTAGATTTGCTACAGACACGCTGGTGTCAAGTTGCAAAGTGTTTCTTTGCCCATTTGGATCTCTATTTTGTCTCTCTTGTGTTTTGAAAAAACATCTGAATATTTACTATAGTAGTAATTAAATGTCATTTAAAAAATATTTGAATTTTTGGGCAGATGTTTATGTTGTTACATTGAACGGAACTGCACTAATAGATGAACTGGCGATATAACCAGATGTGAGCTTTGATGCTAACAGAATCTTGACAATAATCTTCTGACTGGCTTTTCTGTTGGCCCCACATGTTTAGCACGAGGATCATTTAAAAGAAAACAAACTCCCACACTCAGATATAATATACAAATGATAGCTGAGACAATATTTAGGTGCACCGCTATTACAAAGTTCTGACTGCTTAGTGTTTTGTTCAGAAAGCCCGTGTGCCTCCTCATGCAGCGTGTATGAACGTCCCATCTCCTACCACCCTCTGAAGTCTCTAAAAAGCCTGTGTGTAAATAATGAATGGTTTTCCCTTTTTAGCTTGCATGCCTTAGAAGGACCTTCTGTCCCGAATTCTTACTTGGTCTTAGACGTTGCTAAAGTTTCCTTATTGGAGCTTGAATTAAGTCAAAACAAAGAGAATATGTATATTTTTAAAAAGATGATGTCACTTCCTGATTTTATTGGACTAAACATGCCACATGCTCCTATCTTTATTCATCTCTAAAGAATCTTCCTGACTGAATTTGAATCGAGTTTATTAGTAACTGAATTTTGACTCCAGCTGTGCTCTAACAGTTACATCTTCCGTCTCTTTCCAGCTGTACTGTTTTTACTCCTGATGATGATCTGTGCTGTTTTATCACCAACCCCCAGCAGTAACCAGATTATTTTCACAGGTTGAAGTTGGCGATATTATTAGAGTAAATGGCAGTGATTTTGTTCCTGCGGATGCTGCCATTTTGTCATCCAGGTACCGGAGTCCACCCTGCTGCCAGGCTGTGGGGATCTTCTCCCATTTCCTCTTCCTCCTGCACTCTCAGCTTTCTCCGAAGAAGTGATGGTTTACTAACACTCTAATGGATGAAAACAGTTGTCTTTTTAAACCTTTAAACATTAGAATCCATCTTTACAGCCATTACTTGTGTGTCAACCATCATTTCTTTAGATGGGCTGGTGGTAATGTGGTTTTTGATTAGATTTGATGTCTTCATGAAGCAAAATTTTCTCCTGAACTTTCTCACAAAACCATTTAAGTTTGCTGAAGATTGAACTTTTAATGATTTTTTATCCTTTTGTTAACAAATTGCCTGGAAATTCTCTAAAGGTCCACACCGTTTTGCCCAAACCCTTTTGGATCTAAATGGTTTTGTGAGACAGTTGAAGCATACCTCTGATCACAGGACTGATCATTGTGCTCTTTACATCTTCCTGAAACTGAACCAGTTGTCTCTCTCCTCCCTGTTTGTTTGCTGTGTATTGTGTTTTATTTAATCTTCTCCATTCCTCTCTTGCCTCCTGTTGAAACTACTGCCACCCTTTCTCTGTCTCTCCTCCTGCTGGTGTGCGGTTGGTAAAATCAGGTGGCTGTGGGGGAAGTAGTCAGAGCTGCAAACGGGGATCACCTCCCGGCTGACCTCGTCATTCTGTCATCCAGGTCAGAAAACCAGCATTACCAACGGAAACAGCGGTGGGAGAGATGGGAACTTACTGGGATTACACATCTTGGGTTTCCTGTCCCAAATGGACTTTTAGAGAAACAAAGGGGCCTGTAAAAGTCTAAATACACAACATCCTCATTTCCTTCATATTGAGTGTGAGAGTGCATTTATCATGCCACATTAGAGTTTTATGATCTGTTTATTCAGTGATCCAACACTGTTGTATTTGTAAGACAAAGTAACCATAGACATCTTCAAATATATCCCTGTACTTAAAGTGAACTAGGAAGTGTAGTTACACAACAGGAACACACACTTAGGCGGTGTTTTGGGTGTGAACATGGTTTTCCACATTCCTGCCCTTGCATGACTTGTAATTCACCCCGAATGCAAATGTTTCATTTGATCTGTTTGCATGCTGTTCTGTTCCAAGATGGGGAGGTGGAAGTCATCTAGGGTTTCTAGAACTTTCCACAACACATCCCTGCTATTTTAATTAGTCCACATTGGGTTCATGAGATTAGTGCTAAAGCAGTGTGGGATAGCTTTGTGAAGGGTAGCGATCTGTTTTAAAATTCACTTCCCCTCCAACAGAAGATGTGTTTGATCAATCTGTTGAATTAAAACTAGTTTAGTGGCTAATGGCAGATCATGAATAGTATTAATGTGTTTTGATAACGTCGCTAAGCACCAATCCAGTTCAGTTTCTACCCACCGGCATGCTCTAACCCAGAGGATATGTCTGAGACCCGTTTGTCTGCCTTGTTTACTGTGCTTGCTGTGCCTGCCCGGTCCTGTCTCTCCACTTTGATGTCGCTTCCCTCTTTTCCTATCTGTCCCAGTGTAGGATAGATTAGCTTCTGTGGAAAGACAGTTGAAGTCATGGGAATCTGCAGCACCAAACAAAGATGTTTTGTCTATGTCATATAGATGTTTGCTGTACAATAATAGACACTGTCAGTAAAACATTGATGGCAGTTTTTCTTTGTGCTGACATGCAGCATCTTTGCTTGCAGTAGCCACCTTTGTCACAGCTAGTTTACCATAAATACTAGACTGCTGATTATTCAGTACATGTTTACTTTTTATAAATCATCCTAGACTATTTTAGTGATGAAATAAAAAATACAGCGTCATTAATTGCAGATTAGTTAAATGCTTTACCTACTCTTTCCCTTCAATGCAGTGAACCTCAGGGTATGTGTTATATTGAAACATCTAATCTGGATGGAGAGACCAACCTTAAAATCCGACAGGTGAGGGTCCTTGTTTTTTTTTAATTTAAGTCATTGCGTGGGATGTTGGCTGAAGCGACTTCAATGTTGTAATTCCTCCCAAAAGGGTCTCCAGGTGACTTCAGACATAAAGGAGATTGACAACCTGATGCATCTCTCTGGGCGGATGGAATGCGAAAGCCCAAACCGCCACTTGTATGAGTTTGTTGGGAACATCCGCCTGGATGGACACAGGTGAGCTCAGAGTCAGGACTGCTTGTTTAATTCCTCTCTGGGGTGGATTTTTCCAGAACAATGTGTTATGGGATCTTAGGATTGGAGACTTTTTCTGTGACACAAAAGCCTCTAGGTAAATTATTCTGTCAGTTTATTTCTTGAGGAGTTTTGTAATCTGATGATGGAGAACAAGATTTACTCTGCCTGGTTGTCAGCCGCAACCTTTTTTTCAGCACAAAATTAGTTCAAAAGCTAAAAGTTTAATATGGGGTCAGTAGTTTTGAAGGTTTTCTTTTTTTGATGAAAATATTTCAGGAATGTTTCATTCTTTCTGCTTTCTATAGCAAAAGTTGATGTTTTTTTTATAGTGGAAATACTAGTTACCACTGTCAAAGTTCAGATTTAGTCTCTACTATCGTCTTGAATACTCTTTTTATTTACCTACTTTTTTCTCTTTTTTGGGGGGGTCAGGCTTGATTCCTAGTATTTTATTATATTTTTAAATTTATTTTTACTTTAGACATTTGTATTTTTTGTGTTCAAAATAAAGTTTTTGTCATCATTATTATCATTAATGTTATGCTTGGTTTATAAGTATCAATAAGACATGATAGTAATGTAGTTTTTGTGTTTTGTTTGGTTTGGTCATCGACAAAATAGCAATATACTAGAGAACGTTCTCAGTATGACTCAGATTGTTTTGCTTCTTGTCTAAGAAGGGTTATCAATTCAAAGGCCAACCATGGCATCTTGGCAGTCTCTTAAGCGGACAAGAAACCAGACGATGTGTGTGGTGAGGCTGCGCCACGCCCATGCATAAATGCGATTGTGAATGGCAATCCTTCAGATCTATAAGGAGCAAATGTACCTAATCAATCAGAAAAGCAAAATCTGAATATTATAAGAACCAGTTTCTGATGAGTAGTTCTGGCAGACTATCAAGACTATGGAAAATACCAACAAGTCTTCACACTTGCCAAAAACATTCAAATCTGAGGGCATTGTTGTCTCAGATAAAACTAAAATGGTAAATTTCTTCAACAATCCCTTTATCTAGTTTGGTCATGCCTTTGCTACAGCTTCACCTGTCTCTGAACACGACTCAGCTATATGCAATGATTCCCTCTCTGCAACCAATTCATGTTTCTCCATTCAATTGTTTCAGGTAAGTGAGGTACTTGAGGAGTTACTCAGGTTAGATCCTCATAAATCAGCTGGACTGGATACTCTTGACCCTTTCTTTCTGAAAATAGCAGCACATTTTATTGCTGCACCTATAACCCATCTATTTAATCTGCCAATACAAACTGGTGCATTTCCACAGGACTGGAAATTTGCATCTGTTTAAAGGGGGAGATCATAAAGCCGGGCGTACACTGTGCGACTTTTTCACTTTTTTGAGCCGATTTTCCACTGGTGCGAGAATTCGCAAGATCGGGGCGAGTTTTGTGCTGAGCGTAGTGTAGTATACAGGGGGTTATGAGAGGCGATTAACATTGCGTGACCAGCTACCTATCAGCAATCGTGAGCTCGCACGGACTTCTGGAGTGTTTGATATTTTGCTCGTTCCTCATGAGGGTTGAAGTGGCGCAGCGAGCGGCTGCAACCAAAAAAAGTACCAGAACCGCTCACGGCGCATGCGCAATCATGCATTTCCCTAATAACACACGTTGTTCGTTTTTATTTCTAAACGTCTTTTTACACACAATGACAAGGATCGTCAAGAAAGCGTGTTTTTCGTGTTCATGTCAAATTAAACTGATCACAAAACACAGAATTCTTTCTTTATTTCGTTTTCCTCATCCAACCCCCATAAATCCCTGTGTGCAGCACTCCCGAAGGACAACAGACAAAACAAGACAAAAAAAGTGTTGTGTAAAAACTGCTATTTTCAGCATATTTTTAGGTCCGACGTGTTGCTACCAGACGTACAGTGCGAGCAGTCAGGTCGCATCCGAGAACTGGGTCGTACAGTGTGAGCACATGCCTCGTGAGATCTGCCCTGCGAGGAAGTCGTACAGTTTGACACAAGTAATCTAACCAATCCCCTGCATAGGCGGTGATCAAGCCACCTCCCCCTAGACCTGCCGGATTATTAGGCCGTCTGGAATTGTTTGTCCCAAACCTTGCAGTCCCCCCTCCCATGCTGAAGTGACAAAGAGGCATTCCAGCACATATGCCTAAAGAAAAATTATTGAAGCCCTTCACACAACAGGAGTGTACCATTTTCTGCAGGTTTATAAGCTCACAGCACACAAAGCAACCAACGCTTCCATTGTTTATACACCATCATGCAACGCACTACAGCACTCGATACTTCATCGGACAAAGACCGATTGCCCTTTTTTTTTACCTACTGAGATAATAATGGGTTATTTTTAGCCAAGAAATTTGAAGTGTATTCATTTGATGATTGTGATCAAATCTGGAAATTATTTGAATTACTTAGAACAGAGGTGTTTCTCACCACAGCACAGTACCTTTGGGTCCTGACCAGATCTTACTGAGAGGAGCCCAGCTGAGGAACACACAGTGGGTCCATGGTGTGGTGGTCTACACAGGACATGACACAAAGCTCATGCAGGTGAAACCAGATTACAGTTTTGACTTCCTATCTGGTGTGATTCCAACCATAAAAGGCCACATTTGTGGTTTTGTGTCTATAACTAGGCACCAGCAATGAAATGTTTTACTCTCTTTTCTTTTTTCTTAACTGTTTTTGCATTGCCCAGAATTCTACACGTCCTCCTCTCAAGCTGTCCAACGTGGAGCGCATCACAAACTTCCAGATCTTGGTGCTTTTTGGCTGCTTGCTAGCCATTTCTCTGGTCTGCTCTATTGGCCAAACCATCTGGAAGTACCAATTTGGCAATGACGCCTGGTACATGGATCTGAACTGTAAGAGTCCACGCAGCCCTCGCTGCACATCTTATTCCACATATTTTATCTTGCTTGTTTATGTCAGCTTTTTTGAGGGTTCATTTGAAGTTTTTAAAAGCTAGTTGGTGTTGTGTTGTTTTACGTTGCCTCAGTTCTTTTGCTTTTTTTTTGTATTACAAGTGAAATATGTGGCAATGTGGGAATAAGTGTTGTTAGCTGAGGAAGCAGTAGTTACATGGCTAAATGTGCTGTGAATGAATCTCATTGAAAGAAAAATGGTTGAATATCACTGCTCTGCTTTACTTTTTTGGTTCCTTTCTAATGTTCTGTTTGATTTTGTTTTCTTTGTTGTCATTTTTTAACAGCTCCAGGTAACAACCATTTAAAAGCCTTGGCCATCCGTGAATGACCCTCCCTTACTAACCCCTTACTGAAGCTCTGACTTTGCTAAGCAAATGAAGCCCCTACCCTCACCCCCCCATATGGCTGCCCTATTTTGTACGCATACGCTATGCCATGGACCAGCTCATACCAGGGATCCAACAATAGGTTTTTCCCCCTCCAGCTATTTTCTTTTACCTTTCGTCTAATTATCTTAAGTGCCTGATGCAAACAGTGCTTCACTTTTTTCTTTTGTTTTTCTTGTCACGTTAAATGCTTTGCAGTTTCCAAGCTTCAGACCATACTTTCTTTTTTGAGTTTATTGTTTCATATTTTCTGAAGGAAAGATGATAGTGGCATTTTTAACTTCAAGAAGACAAGATTGTGCTGAAGAGGCTTTTAATGGCAGAAACGTATACATGTTTGCATGTGAACACAATGTGTTTCAACTGGAGGGGCGAGAGCTGGCCTTTTCTAAATGTCTCTGCTGGCCTTTTTTATTTGTGGACTTCACAAACAGAAAGGGAAGGATGTTTTTTGAAAGCTACTTAGTATTTTCTTTTATTTTTCAATAATCCCACTACTACATATTACTAATCTGACAGCAATGACGGCCATTCTGATGAAAAGAAGCCCTGAACTTGGAGTGCAAAGTGCTTTTCGTGACAGTATTGCCATTATTCTGTGCCCTGGTAGGTCTTTCTAGAACAGGTTGTGCCCTGGTCAGTTTAAGCTTGCATTACAGCTTACATGGTCTCCCTCCTCCTCCACTTCTCTCTTAAGATGTTTTTGGGTTTATTGGTTCTGTAAGGCTTTTTTGTTGTCCACTGAAATGTTAAAACAATCTAAAACATTCTCTGTCAAACTGATAAAGGGGAGTGTAAGTTATAAAGCAAGCGTCCATCTTCAAAAAATGTTACTTCCATAAGGAGCTGTTGAGTCTCTGTCCAAAGCATATTGTCCTACCTGCGATGAAAGAGAGGAGATGAGATTGTCTCCTTGTTTCTTCACTCGGTCACCTTCTGTAAAGTTAATGATGACAGAAGGCCAGCACTTATCACTCATATTACAGAAAGCTATGAATATTTAGCCTGCTTGAATAATAAATTTGACTTAAGCCTGTTGCAAAGAGCTGACACAAGCTTTTGTAGTTGATTAAAGCAAAAACACTGACGGCTAACAGGCTCAGAGAAAAACTCAAAAGCCGTTTGGTCTGCTGTCGTGTTTTTGATTAGAATAGGTTTAGAAAGTGTCACAGAGCCTTTGAAATACATTGTTGAAGGATTTATCCATATTTATAATCCTACAGCATCATCACATCTGATGAAAAAAGGAACCCAGTTAAAGTTGCGGTATTTATTCTAGGGAAAAAAGCCATTCAAGCAAGTTATATTTTGACCCCTTTCTTCAGGCGCCCCCCTTAGAATCAGAATGTGATGGTTGCAGAAAATGGTGCAACACCGCCTTTCGACACAGACACGCACAGCACCAGCATAATGCTCCGAACCTAACCTCCTCACACCCCCCACACACACTTTAGTATGCCACAGCATACATAGTTTTACAACCCTGCTCATGGGGCTGTAACAGAAGAACAAACAAACAAATGAGACGCCACGGTTGAAAGTTTAAGTACATTTTTAAAAATGTGGCACAAAATCTCCCGCACCAAACAATTAGTCTCTTTCTGGAGTATTTCTCTTATCTGATGGCACCATCTATTGGCTGACAAGCATATCAAACAAATAATTTCTCCTTTCATAGTTTTTTTCAGATATCGACTTCACGTTTCTAGTTTTTAAATGTGCTTCTGTAACCGATAAACAGAGCTAAAACACGTTGTTTTACAAGTATTATTCTCATGTCATGTTGTGTTTTCATATATTTATATATTAGAGACTTACTTGTCCGTGAAAAGTTCATCAACTCTGCATCAGTTGAGGTTTTCCTTAAATTTGAAGCATGTAAGCTGTAGTCTGGTTGATGGTCAGTTTCCCATTGCACGGAGCTCTGCAGGGCGGGGGGTGTGCTTAGATAAAAAAAAACTCAAAAATGACGTATTGCCTACATTATATCACAAAACATGATAAGACAATCACTTTTATGGATTTCTGAAAAATCATTCATCATTTCTGAAAGGGAAAAACTCTGGAAAGCAGCTTTAACCAAAACAAAGCTGCATGCAGAGGAGACTACAGGTAAAGTGAAGCTTTAAAAGAAGAGGATTGACACTGGGCCCAGGTGTCTTCAATCATCCTCAGTAACAGTTTGCTCCAAGTGCTGCAGCACTAAAAGGCCATCACACCTTCACCCACAAAATCATGTTACCATAAGAAAACATGATTCCACGAAAAGAATACGCAAAAAACATCAACATTCTTAAAACAAAACACAGAAACAGACAATACCAACCATGTCGTTGTTAAAGCCAACCTTTAGGCCTATCGGCTCAGCAAGCGGTGCACCAGGAAGCAAAAACACACAAGGCTGAACAAAACAAAATCCTTCAGGATTCCACATCTACATAGCATGGCACCGCCTTCGTCCAAACAGCTTTCCAATACAGTCACCAATGGAGAGGCCTCAAAGTGTGCCACACTATCCACAAATGGTATGCAATCCAACGCAATCACACACACCCATGCTGACCGATCACAAAATGGTGGTGACAAAACAGGCCCAGCTAGCACCACAAACAAAAGCTAGCAAACTCAGCCCCCACTTGTTACCATCCTGGCAACCAAGAGAAGGAAACCATTAAACAGCCTAGCAGGCTGCCGTCACGACAGACAGGAGAACCTCACCCCGGCCGAGGAGAAAAAGCGGCAGACAAGCCCCCACTTGTTTTGACCCAACTCATGAAGCTGTAAAAAACACCATGGTTAAAGGTTTAAATGAGTTTTATTTAAAAAGCAAATAAATATGGAGTAAAACTCCCACACCAAACAATTAACCAAAACAAATCTGGGTGCAGGGAAGAGGAGCTCTCTGCCCAGAAGGCAGATAAAGTGAAGCAAATGCATCTTTTTCTTAGTAAATTACTTAATTACCACAATCTGATCATGTCTCAAACAAAAGCCCACGTCTAAATCTTTCAAAGTTGATGCCAAATTTGTAATTCTAGAGTCAACGCCATCTTTGTAGATTTTCTCCATCACAGCTTTGGTGCTTAGCCTGCTCAACAAACCTAGAGTACTGTGATTGGACCTGCTGAGGTTAGAGTGGAACGTGGCTAGGCCAACCTGCAGAACAAAGTCTTGCTATTTCTACAATCTGTCTAGATTTCTTGGCTAGTTTTGGCGTGTGGTGATGCATGTTCTGGATTTGCTGGTTTGATTATGTTTTAATCAATTGATGCCAACATTTTTTGTGTGTCATAACGAGCCTGTTATAGAAACATTTAAAACAAGCGAATAGAGAGCATTCACCCTAAAAAACACAATCCACCCTCTCTTTTCCACTTTTTGCTGGTTGAGAATGTGCTATGGACTGAATCTCCCTCCTTTGTCTTGAGAGCATCTGAAATGTTTGTCTTCCCCCTCACTTCTTCAGGAAGTATTCCTTCTTACATGTGTCGTTGTAGCATTAGCTTCCATTCTGCCACTTCCTTTCTGCCATCTTTTGTTTTTGAAACAATGCCATGTGGAAGGGCTGGCCCTCTCAATCGCAAAGCTAAGCTTAAGGCTTGGGTTGAGGAAGGTAACATTTGCACCTCCTGCAAGCTGAGGAAAGGTAAATCACATCCCTCCTGTTTTCATGTTTGGTGTCAGTGGGGTTACATGTTGATCATTAGCAGCTGTTTGGGGCTTCTGCGGGACCAGCATTGTTTTGCATAGTGCTTTTTTAGAACTCATTGCCTGGATCATGCTGGATGCCAAGGCTGCTGCTGTGACAGTAATGAGATACTTCAGTCCCTGTTCGCTACTTTCTGTCTTTGGGACTTTAAATTGGATTGCTAATTGTTTGAGTTAAAAGGATGAGGTTGGGTGGAAGAAAAGGTTAATTCCAGCTAATGCACAACATTTTCCTCTAAATGTTCTTTGGTCTGGGATAATGTTGATCCTTAGCGGGAAGTATGGCCTTGGGGATTTTCATTTAACCCTCTGATATGTATAAATCAGAACTGATAAGTCTCTTGTGCATCATTCCCCTTTTGTCCAAAACATGTCTCTTGACAGATGGCGGTGCGGCTAACTTTGGCCTCAACTTCCTAACGTTCATTATCCTTTTCAACAATTTGATTCCCATCAGTCTTCTGGTCACACTGGAGGTGATCAAATTCATCCAAGCCTTTTTCATCAACTGGGTGAGTTTACGGTGCCATACAGAAGTGGTGTTTTATGAAAATGCAAATGGTTTATTATTACTATTTAAGCCGGTTCCAGAGTGTAAGATAACTAAAAAACTAATAAAACTCTTGTTTTTTTCATTGTCTGCCAAAATGCAGCATTTTACCATTTGTGATGCCATAGTACCATAGAGATACAGCGTACTGCCTAGGCCACAAACAGCTAAGAAGCTTTGATGACTGAGCCTGGGTTGCTGTGAAACACTTCTGATAAAGGGTGCAAGTGATGATGTGGAAGGACGGAGACCAGTGCGGGAAATGCTGGGAAGTGGAGTTCTAGACGTGGATGACTGGAGAGTTAGGATCGTGACACTAGGGATGCCCGATATTATCGACCAATGCTGGCATTTAGATGTAGTATCGAAAATATTTAGTATCAGTTTTTACTCATTTAGTAACTCGTGCCATTCATTGCATTTCCAACAAGGCTTTCATAGATAATTGTTTGATTCCTTTTAGAGGTCCATCGATGTTTTGTCTGTTGCTGAAGTGTAGAGGTCATGGTCAGCTGATGGCCGATATGTGCTGCTGAGTTTTTGGGCAGATTTTTATGGCCGACATCTAGACGTTTTCCAACTTATTTGCATGATAAAATGTTACTAATAACAGTTGAGGCACAACATTTCTGAAGCTGAATCTGATTTTGATCTCTGAATTTAATCAAGCTTCATTTTTTCCCCCTACTCATTAATAAAATCAGACATCTAACGAAAGTGAATCAAACAAATCAGTTAACCGACCAAGTTTTAAATATTCAAAACTGGTATAAATTAAAAAAAATGCTGAAAATAATATTTTAGAGTGTTTATTATGTAGATGTTATTCAGTAATGTAAATATATGTATAAATTAATCTGTGCAGCACCACTGGGCTGCCCGGCCACGTGCCTGACTTTAAATCAACTTTATTATTGGCGGTTGCCGACGCATAAAAAGTGACAATGAGCCAGATATTTTGGCATACCCCTAATTCCTTTGTTTTTGTTTGTTGTGTATTTTGTTAGGAAGCTTTCTACCGACCGGTTGTGTATGAAGCATCATTTGTTGGTTGGGTTTGGCTCTAATGACGTGTGGATTCTTTCAGGATACTGATATGGTTTATGAACCCACAAGCACTCCTGCAATGGCCCGCACGTCCAACCTGAATGAAGAATTAGGCCAGGTAAATGTTTAAATCTCATTTTCTTTAACTCTTATTGTAAAGTTTGTATATTGTTTAGACTTCACCCCTGAACTTTTTTTCTTTTTAACTTGTACAGGTGAAGTACATTTTCTCTGACAAGACAGGAACGCTGACCTGCAACGTGATGCAGTTTAAGAAGTGCACCATCGCCGGTGTGGCCTACGGGTATGTTCTCTTTTCTTCTCTCTCTCTTCCATCTGGTTTTCTCCCAACATCCTCTTCAACTGCCTCCCCCTTCACCTTCATTAAATGCAGAGTATGCATCATAGTGCATCTGGCATACCTCTCCTCTTCCTCACCTTCTCATTAGCAGCTACATCAGTGCTCTGTGAATGTAAACTATAAATAAAACATGAACGCACATTTGCAAGCAACAACTCTTTAAACTGTCCTCATCTCAGACTCTTCTGCTTGGAGGAGAAAGGAAACCTCCCAATGGTCCGAAGCCATTTTATTTTGTGTCGTGTTTGTATTGTGTTGTGTCTTTGTAGAATGACTCAAACTGTATTACTTTCTCACCAGCTTCTCTGACATCACATTTTTTTTTTCACATTCCATTAGTCAGACCTTGCTGTTTTCGACTTTGATTTTAATTTTGTGCTTAGATAATTAGCCTCAACAAATGCAAAACAAGTGGGCGAACAGCATCTTCAGAGAAAGCAAGTGCGGGCGTGACAGTGCATGATTAATCCCATTAGAATTCAATTAAATGTGTGACTATTGGGGCGCAGCCCAAAATTAAATGTGTTTTTTGATGATTTTTTAGTGATGAAGCTTTCATTTGGATGTGATTGTAAACACAGTAAAAACACTCCAAACTTCGTATTTGAACAGTAGTTTTATCATTGAAATGTGTAAAAAAACCCTTTGGGTCATTTCTGATTGTTTTCTTAGAGTAGGGACTACTGTTACTGCCTTTAGGTGTTACTTAAAGGTTCAATATGGAACATGAACACCAAAGCGACATCTAGTGTGTGGAGTTGCAACAATAAAACAAGGTTTCCAGCCTTCAGGATACCAGGTTTGCTGCAGACATGTGAAATGTTTCAATTCTTTATGTTCGCTCTTCTCCCGGGAAGGATAACGACATCTTCTGGGCTCAGAAGCAGCTGCTCTACTTGCCGAGTCCGCAATTTTCCATAGTGCCAACCTCACTGTAAGAGTGGACTGTTTGGCGATCCGCAGTGGTGCCCTCTGTTGGCTGGTGGATGTAAACATACGCCCAGTGTTGTGCCGTCAAAATAAATATTTGATGATTTTATTTTTTTTAATATAGCTTTTAAAGGAAATATTGTACCTTCATTCTGAAGACCTCTAAATGCCTCGTGGAGGTATTATTTTTTTAAATATAGCTTTTTATTAAATTGTTCTATATTCAACCTTTATTGGAGTCAAGCTTGCTTGTCAACGGGGATATTTTTGTTCCCCTCACAACCACTGTGATTCGAAAGCAGTGATTACTTATTTTGCTCCAAATACAAATGTTCATATGTAAATAAGGTATCCATATGCATCTAATAAAGTTAAATTAGTGTGAAGGGACCTCATGTTCTGCAGTTTTATTTTTCATTTATGATCGAATTCATCAGTTGTGAGTTCCTTCTAAGATGCTTTATCTGTTTTGTTTTTTGCTAATCAGGAAATATTCATCAAAAGTTGCCTCAATCACCATTTTACAATCGGAGATAAGAAAACATTATTTCAGATCCTCAGGAATTACATTCAAAAGCAAATCTAGATTTGTGTAGAATAATGGAGAACACTTAAGGAAACACAGAGATTTAAATAATTAAATATGCTTTGCTCTTACAGTGCAGCGTGACTTGTAAATTGGTGCCAACGCGCACGCGCACGCACACACAAAACCCCCACTGACACTGCCGCCTGCATGTGTTCCTCATCACAAATTAAGTGCTGCTGTAATTAATAAAGCTATCCCCAAGGGCAAAGACATTAATTAATTCCACAGGATTGGAGTCCAAATCTGAAGGAGAAATAGTGCCGGGTCGAAGAAAAGACTCAAAACACGCCTGGTTGACCAGACGAAAGCAATAGCTCCTTTAATAATAATAATAAAGTGAAGCTTACAGAAAAAAAACATGTTTTATCATAAATGTTTTATTTTTTAACAGTTACTCGGGCATCAGCAGTATCTCAGTGGGTCTCTGATCACTCCTCGCCCACTGCTAATTACCTACCACAGTTTTGAAACCACAGACTTGGCAGGGATTCTGCTCATGATTAATCTGTAGGGATGCAGCTGTAATGTTGTTAAGGGTTGATTATGAATGGGGCATAGCAACATGGCGCTTATGTTTTCCTCCTGATATTCTTTAAAGCCCACTCCAATGAAAATCACAGTTTTGACCATGATGACAAAACCATAGGTTGTGTTGGAAGCTCCATCATGATTAAAGCAAATGTCACCAGAACTGTTGCAGCACACAGAGACAGAAATCCACCGCTCCAATCCTGTCGACTCACCTAATATTCATTGTTTGATACTTTCTACATTTTAGCTCAAGAAAGTTTTCTGTGGAGTTGAATAACCAGACAAGGTTGTATCAAAAATGAATATGCTTATTTCAAATTTTCTAAATCTGCCTGGTATGTGAATATAAGCTGCAGAGTAGACTGAGTCATTTTGAGACAAAATGGAGTTTACTTAATAACACCAAACTTAGTATTCAGTAGCAATTTGCAGCTTTACAGCTAGTTGTTACTACCGTATTTTCCGGAGTATAAGCCGCTCCGGAGTATAAGTTGCACCAGCCATAAAATGTATAATGAAGAAGAAAAAAACATATATAAGTCGCACTGGACTATAATGGGCCATTCCCATCTGTACCGGGTCGGCCCAGGCCGGGTAGCGTAGGTTGTTTACATATCTGGGTGGCCTGGTATTTTTCCGGGCCAACCAAGGCTCATTCTCAGCCCTCTTCTCGAGGGGGTCTGCTTCAGGCCGACCAGGGCCAACACACCCACTGCTGACAGCAAATTCACACCTTCCATTAGAGCAAGCCTCTGATTGGTGGGTAGAATCAGCCCACATGGGCTTAAGGCAAGGATGTGTGGAATCAACCGGGCCAGGCTGGGGCCGACTGGGGCTACCCGGCCCGGGCCGACCCGGTACAGATGGGAATGGCCCATTAGTCGCATTTTGGGAGAAAATTTTATTGTTTTTCTTTCAAAATCTGAGACCAAGCGTTTCACATTGCAAGACAAGTACCGGTAAAAATAACAGAATAAACAACCAGGGCGCAGCAGCGCGGCACGTCTCCAGCAGAGGATGGCGGTGTTTGAAACCCTCCCAGCGGGACAGGGGAGCTCATTCCTGGGTCGGAGCTGCCCAGCCCGCAGCAGCTCGCCACGGTCTCCAGCAGGTGATGGCAGGGCAGAGGAGCTTGTTCCTGGTCCGGAGCCGATCCGCAGCAGCGTGGTATACATAATCTGGTATATAAGTCACTTTGGTATATAAGTCGCAGGACCTGCCAGACTATGAAAAAAGTGTGACTTATAATCCGGAAAATACGGTACATCACACAGGTAAGACAAAAGTAGGGATACATGATATAATGGCATCAATATTGGCCAATGTTAGTCTTTTTTTTTAACATATCTGCCCCATAAGTAAAATTGGGCTGATGTTAGGGCTGGGCGATATGGACCAAAACTTATATCGATATCTTTTTGCTGAATTCCGATACACAATATATATCTTGATATTTTTCCTCCTGTAATGTATTTACAAGTTAACTCACTTCAAGATGTCTTGAGAAATTATGAACATAAATCAGTAAATTAAATGCATTATTGATTCTTGTTAAATTTTAATCTTAGTGCTTATTCTCTACCAGTCTGAGTTTTAGAAACACTGGTACAGCTGTCTGCTAGCACACACACACACACACACACACACACACACACACACACACACACACACACACACACACAGTTGAGAGCGAGAGATGTATCAAATGTCCCACAGCACTTTTTAATTATATATTTATAATTAATGTAAAATTATTTTAATTACATCTGGAGGTGGCCCATATCACATTTCTTGTCCAGAGAAAAAAAAATCTATCATGTTAAACTAACTTTATGATGATGTAACCATCTACTGAAGATCACATGGGTCATGCACCGTGAAGTTATTAGTTATGAGGGCAAACATAGCTGGAATCTAGGTCGTGTAGGGCTTTATAAACAAACATCAATATCTTAAAATGCACACGAAGTGTGATGGGGAGCCAGTGAAGACGTTTCAGGACTGGTGTAATATGGCTATGTCGACTTGTGTTTGTTAAAAACCTAGCAGCGGCATTTTGGACAGCCTGCAGCCGGTTCAGGGCAGAGACAGGAGTTCCAACTAATAATGCATTAGCGTAGTCCAAGTGAGAGGTGATGAAAGCGTGGATGACTGATTCCAAGTGCTTCCTCCTCAAGATCGGTCTTAAATGAGATAGGCGGCATAACTGATAAAAACAAGACCTCACCACTGAGTTGATCTAAGGAGTCATTGAGAGGTTGGCATCCATTTTTACCCTGAGGCTTATTACACACTGCGTAGGGTTTAAACCATCAAAAGTTGGTCAATTACTTGTTTGGTCAATTCTTTTGGACAATGATATAAATCACCTCAGAAGTATAAATGTGTTTGGTGTGTGTTTATAATATAAGCAATAATATATTTACATATAATTATTGTATTTTAGGTGTGTTTTGGCAAGAATCTGGTAATACAATATACATCACAATACAGAGGAGACCGACTATACGATGTATCGCAAACATACAGGGAGTGCAGACTTATTAGCAAATGAGTATTTTGTCCACATCATCCTCTTCAATCAATCAATCAATCAATCAATCAATCAAAGCTTTATTTATAAAGCGCCTTCCGCAACCCTGTCAGGAAGCCCAAAGCGCTGAACATGGTTCAGTTGTAGATAAATATATTGAATAAATCAACAATAAAAGCAATTCAAATTACAAAATACAAAATGCAAATTACAAAATAGAAATTACAAGATAGAAGAAACATTCTGGTACAGGACAAATGTGTGAAACACATTTGGATTGAGTGGATGGACTGAGTGAACCAATGAAAACTGTGAAATAATGCATGTTGTCTTACTCCAAGCTGTATAGGCTTGAAAGCCTACTACCAATTAAGCATATTAGGTGATGTGCATCTCTGTAATGAGAAGGGGTGTGGTCTAATGACATCAACACCCTATATCAGGTGTGCATAATTATTAGGCAACTTCCTTTCCTTTGGCAAAATGGGTTAAAAGAAGGACTTGACAGACTCAGAAAGGTCAAAAATAGTGAGATATCTTGCAGAGGGATGCAGCAGTCTTAAAATTGCAAAGCTTCTGCGTGATCATCGAACAATCAAGCGTTTCATTCAAAATAGTCAACAGGGTCGCAAGAAGCGTGTGGACAAGCCAAGGCGCAAAATAACTGCCCATGAACTGAGAAAAGTCAAGCGTGCAGCTGCCAAGATGCCACTTGCCACCAATTTGGCCATATTTCAGAGCTGCAACATCACTGGAGTGCCCAAAAGCACAATGTGTGCAATACTCAGAGACATGGCCAAGGTAAGAAAGGCTGAAAGACAACCACCACTGAACAAGACACACAAGCTGAAACGTCAAGACTGGGCCAAGAAATATCTCAAGACTGATTTTTCTAAGGTTTTATGGACTGATGACATGAGAGTGAGTCTTGATGGGCCAGATGGATGGGCCCGTGGCTGGATTGGTAAAGGGCAGAGAGATCCAGTCCGACTCAGACGCCAGCAAGGTGGAGGTGGAGTACTGGTTTGGGCTGGTATCATCAAAGATGAGCTTGTGGGGCCTTTTCGGGTCGAGGATGGAGTCGAGCTCAACTCCCAGTCCTACTGCCAGTTTCTGGAAGACACCTTCTTCAAGCAGTGGTACAGGAAGAAGTCTGCATCCTTCAAGAAAAACATGATTTTCATGCAGGACAATGCTCCATCACACGCATCCAAGTACTCCACAGCGTGGCTGGCAAGAAAGGGTATAAAAGAAGAAAAACTAATGACATGGCCTCATTGTTCACCTGATCTGAACCCCATTGAGAACCTGTGGTCCATCATCAAATGTGAGATTTACAAGGAGGGAAAACGGTACACCTCTCTGAACAGTGTCTGGGAGGCTGTGGTTGCTGCTGCACACAATGTTGATGGTGAACAGATCAAAACACTGACAGAATCCATGGATGGCAGGCTTTTGAGTGTCCTTGCAAAGAAAGGTGGCTATATTGGTCGCTGATTTGTTTTTGAATGTCAGAAATGTATATTTGGGAATGTGGAGATGTTATATTGGTTTCACTGGTAAAAATGAATAATTGAAATGGGTATATATTTGTTTTTTGTTAAGTTGCCTAATGATTATGCACAGTAATAGTCACCTGCACACACAGATATCCCCCTAAAATAGCTACAACTAAAAACAAATTAAAAACTACTTCCAAAAACATTCAGCTTTGATATTAATGAGTTGTTTGGGTTCATTGAGAACATGGTTGTTGTTCAATAATAAAATTATTCCTCAAAAATACAACTTGCCTAATAATTCTGCACTCCCTGTAAAAGCCAGACAATATTTGCAATTGTAAGACAGACGCCTCTAAGAGACATCCTGTGTTATTCCAGGATGGTGTTGCTCTGTCAGAGCAAAACCGCTTCCACCTAGCAGTCAGAGTTTGAGTTGCAGCAAACAAAAGAAACAATAAACATTTGTATGTAAATCTTCAATGAAAAAATATATACTCTGCTATTAAATATTGATTCAGTATCAGAACATAAAATAGCATGAAATTTCAGTTTACTGATATCTTTTTACATTTATAATTATATAATAATGGTAAATATTGGTTATGGCACAACAGCAGTATAAGTGTCGGATATGGATCCAGCCCACATTTATGTATCATTGCATCCTTAGGCAAAAGTATAATGATGTTTCTCTGGTTGGCTTGATGTCATTTTGGTGAAGAATTAAAAAATGTCCTGCCAGCTGTGACTACCAGATCTGCTACACTTTTGTTGGTGTAAAGGTTTATTAGGATAATGTTATATAACACATGAAATTTAGAAAAATGTTAGTCTAATTTGGTCTTAGCTGCTAGCTAATCAGGGCTGACGGACGTAAAGGCCTTTTCTCTAAAAATGTTCTGCTTGAAGGTGTGCTAAAGCTGATGTCCTTACATTAATTTTATTCATGAACGTTCATTTAAAACAATCTGCAGCTGAAGGGTTTTTCTTTTCTTTCTTCACACTAAGCTAAACTGTAAATTTGCTGCTGGTAGTTAGTTGTGCCTATAACAACTAGAGAGCCTGCATTAATCTCCCTACGTCTAACACCTTTCATCTGACTAATCTTACTTGTTAACCTGCACATAAACAATTCCACTTTAACCCTATTTCTGGCATCTGAATGTTAACTGAAGACTTTGTCAACAAGATGCTTTTTGTTTCCACCTTCACTTCAACAGTCACGTCCCTGAGGCTGAGGAGGGTAGTTTTGCAGAGGACGACTGGTAAGATGATGGGTGTAAAATGATTGCTGTTTTTCTCCTGCTTCTGTCATGTATTATTGCTGCTCTGCCTTGTGAAAAATGTGACTGTGTGTGTGTGCAGTACTTTTTGAACTTGTGAATGTGGCTCTTGAATCCTTGTGTTGATGCGAAAAAAGAAAAAAAATCCAATGTTTATTATTGATTCCAGTTGCAAGAAGACGGGCTTTTTAGTGTGTTGTATTGAAGCCATGCAGCACATTCTGTCTGACTTTGGCGATGACAGCTCCCCACCCAGTTCCAGTCTTTCTGTCACACATGCAAACACTCACACACACTCAGCTCTGCAGCATGGGTGTGGTTTATCCAGTTTGCATGAGGGATCGAACTCGGTTTGTGTTTTGCTGCTTTGAGAGATGTTGTTAACTTCCGTAAAGCATTCTTTTAGACGTTCTTCTTCTCCAAACAGCCTGACATTATATTTAGATCTTGTAGGTTAAAGGATGCAGGACTATTGAAAATAGTAATGGTTCTTTGAAGCTTTAACACATTTAAATATTTTGATTTGCAGCTCTGATAGCAGGATGGTGTTGTGTCATTGTTTTGAGTTGGATCTCTGCCCTAATTATTGACTTAACAGCCAGCACTCTTGTTTCCATAGCGACAGGACCTCTATGTGCTGGCAGATAATCAATATCTTACCATCCTTCTCACCTGGTCTCATGCCTCACAAATTTCATCAAGACAAAAGGACCCTGAGAGCTGTTTTACTGCAGAAAAAAATACATCTGTAAACTTTTTTTGCTGCAGTTTTATATTTTTATTATATAATGAATATTCAAAAATGCTTGGAGTAGCATTGCTAAAGGTTTAACATACTTTAGTAAAAACTACCAGAGAGAGAAAAACACCATTTGAAGTCACGGACAACAAAAGACATTTGGACCTGGAAAACGGCGACTGGTGTTTAGCACTTTCTGGTTTACTCTTGAAATGCGGGTGTCTGGTTACAGCAGGAGCGTCTCAGGGAAGATACCCGAGGGGAGTGGAGTGTTCCATGACTGTGTTTGCGTTCAAAACCTAGCCTGCTCTGTACATTTGCTAAAGCAGCTTAGAGGTTTTTCAGAACCGAGGGAGTAAATGAGGTTTACTATTACACAGTGAGATTTCGTTAGGTACAATACAAAACCCAATCATAAAAAATGAAAAAAAATCATTCCATACACTCTAAATCCATCCTTTAATTTAGTGTTTATCAGAAGTTTTCTGGTGATGCAATATCTCAGTTTCCTCTTTCCAGGCTCAGCACACACTCGGATGAGGCTGGATTTAATGACCCAAGCTTACTGGAAAACCTCCAGAGTCATCACGTAAGTAATATTAGCGCCTCCTGAGACTACTGCTGCTTCTGCTAAGAGCCGACTAACATGCGTTTTTAATATGATTCTGTGTGGTTGTCGTGTAATTTTTCATTTGAGAAAGTTGTTTACGCATGCATGCAGTGGCTTAGAAGTGATGCCATTTATTAGGATGTGAGACATTTAGAGACCAAATGAGTTCAGATCTGTTTCATTAAAACCATGCTGAGAGGTGAAATACTCTTTCTGTGCACATTATAATTAAAAACAAGCAAACATTCCAATAAACTCGATCTGACTTAAAATCCTCACAATCTAATTTGGGATGCATTTCTTTATATGAGTTAGGAGGAACAGTAAAGACCATCTGAAGTCATAAATCAGTGAAAGCAGTGATTGATTTGGTCACGAGTCACTCAGCTGCAGAGCAGAGTTGAAGATGTCGGATTTAATCACATGCAATAATACTGCCTCGGGACAATGGTAATCCCACTGCCATGTGCCAAGTGCTTTGTTATGATAGCAGAATTTGTTCCCACATTGAGTTTGTTTGAGGTTTCATAATGATAGCTCCTCGCCCACTGCTAATTGCCTACCACAGATTTGAAACCACAGGCTTGGTAGGGATTCTGCTCATGATTAATCTGTTGGGGTGCAGCTGTAATGTTGTTAAGGGTTGATTATGAATGGCCTAAGCCGAGAGGCCCAGACTTCCCTCGCCCCAGCTACTGGGCCAGCTCCTCTGGGGGAATCCCAAGGTGTTCCCTGGCCAGGTGAGAGACATAGTCCCTCCAGCATGTCCTGTCTGAGAGACACTAAACTCCCCCACCTGGGCCAGGGCCTTGTCCCTGACCCAGAGAAGATATTCTTCTCTTTTTGGGCTCAACACGTCTCAGATCTAGTGGAACTGATCTTCATCCCCAATGTTTCGCACTGAGCTGCAAACCGCTCCAGCAAAAGCCACTAATACTTTGTTGCGACCCACATGACACTCCTGTAAATGCTAAATGTAGCTAATTTCATAAAACGCTTGATGTTCTCATGGAGACAACACTTGATATTTGTCAGGAGTGTTCTTTCTTAAAGATTTCTCATTCTGACCTTTTAGAACAGTTTTTTTTTCTTTCTCATGGCCACAGGCTGTTTATATGAGTAGCCCTAACACTGTGTTAAGGAGGATGGCACACTAGATGAAAAGGGATTTACCAGCTCCCCTTGGTGCTTTTCGTATTTCCTGAACTTCATCTGCAGCTTTTCTGGGTGTTCAAACCCAAACAACAAAATGAATATATCACAGCACACCGCATGTAAATGGCCTGTGTCGTGCTTTTTTACACCTTTTAGAGCAATGGAAGAACCCCTCCTATCAGGTGGTTCTAACATTGGAATGGCACTGGAATGAAGGTGTAATCCGTCTGAAAACGCACTCCTGAACTAGTGTTGGCTTGACAAACAGTTTGTGAAATCACTGTCACACTGGTTCGGTTTGTGAGAGCTAAAGATAAAATCCAACCATTTCTGCAGAAGGTCTGAACAGGGTTCCTGTTCCTCTTGCAGACAAAAATACATTTTTGGGTTTAGGTATTATTTAAAGTGCCTGCTAGCTACACGGAGAGGCTGGGTGTTAGTATTTACAGTTCAGGGGATCCAGACTAGTGACTCTCTGGATGGAAAGGAGCAGGTTGTGGTGATGCAGCAACAACCCCAGCAGTCGCTGGGCAGACAGCTGAGGATTTGCAGCTGAGACAGGAAAATGCATGTGCAGAGCCAAAAACTGCTTTGGGATGTCTTCATAAGGAAATAATATAACACTGTCAAAATATCCAAAATGGATTTAGCATGATAAAGGAGCTGCCAATGGGTAAAAATATAAAATAAATACAAGTCCAGTCACAATGAGTTGTATATTTTATGAGTTCATTAGCAATTCTCTTGTTCTCTTGGCTTAACACACAAACACACAAACATGTGTACACTCCAACATATCCTTTCAGAGGATACCTGTCAACACAGCTCAGATTAGCATGCTGCTAGGATGAGAGGTCTCTCAGCCACCTGGACTGTAATGGACTCTGTGCATTTTCCTTTTCAAGTGGTCCTTTGAGTCACCCCTCTGTTCCCATCATTTGTTTTCTCCTTTGTTCCTCTCATGGTTCTCAAGGCCAACAGAAAGAGGAAAAAATAAATGCAAGAGCACACATGTTTTGTTTGAGAACAGTAAAAATAGTAAAGGATTTTTCAGCCTTGATTCAATTAGAAGCGATCAGTCTTTTTGTGCTTTCTCTAATCGGCTGCGAGTTGAGTGAAGCCTTACAGATTTCTCATGGTGATAGTACTGTCCTGTGAGGGAGGTCAGGCATAATTGTTACCAAATGTTTGTAGCCATATACGGTTTGTTTAGTTGGCTTATTCGGGCCTGCTGTGGGCCTGGAAGCTACTGATTTCTGACTCAGTTGCAGTCACTTCCTCCAAACCAGTGGCCCTCCGGTGTTAGATAGGAGCCTCCGCAGATGCCTGTCTGAATTCCCCCCACAGCAAGTTAGTCATGCTGGTCCTTTCATTAATGTAAGTGCCCCAGGTATGCCACTTTGGCCCTTTTTCCATTAGCTGAGGCAAGTTCATGTTGGATGAAAAAGCATGACTAAATGTGTGTCAGAGGCTTGACTCTTGCGGGCTTGTTCTGTGTGACCCAATTGGCTTTTTACCAGTGGTTATTTGTCTGGTCAACCCTGATTGCTGAGTGCTGAAGCCACATGTTTTCAGACTGGAAAAGTGGATACAGTGGGGTTAGTAAAAAAAAAATATTTCTTTGTTTTTAACTTGAGGACAGTAGGTATTTCAAAAATAACATGTTTAACAATTACGTCTTTTTTATAACATGTGTGGGCATAACCTTTATAGACAGGATTTCTAGGTGCAACCAAGGTGTGGAGGGCATCCATTTTGGTGGCCTGAGGATCAGGTCTGCTTTTTGCAGATGATGTGGTCCTGTTGGCTTCATCAGAGCGTGATCTTCAGCTTTCGCTGGAGCGGTTCGCAGCCGAGTGTGAAGCAGCTGGGATGAAAATCAGCTCCTCTAAATCTGAGACCATGGTCTTGATTCAGGAAAGGGTAGAACACCTTCTCCGGGTCAGGGATGAGGTCCTGCCCCAAGTGGAGGAGTTTAAGTATCTCGGGGTCTTGTTCACGAGTGAGGGAAAACTGGAGAGTGAGATCAATAGGCAGATTGGTGCTGCATCTGCAGTGATGTGGGCGTTGTACCGGTCTATCGTGGTGAAGAGAGAGCTGAGTCAGAAGGTGAATCTCTCGATTTACCTCGATCTACGTTCCTACCCTCACCTATGGTCATGAGCTTTGGGTAGTGACCGAAAGAACGAGAATGCCTAAAGGTAGACCCAGGACACGGTGGAGGGACTTTGTCTCTCACCTGGCCAGGGAACGCCTTGGGATTCCCCCGGAGGAGCTGGCCCAAGTGGCTGGGGAGAGGGAAGTCTGGGCCTCTCGCCTTAGGCTACTGCCCCCACAACCTGACTCCGGATAAGCGGATGGATGGATGGATGGATGGATGTTTTTTATGTTGTGAATCTGGTTTGTTGTGTCATATTTAAGTAAAACTAAAATGTTATAATTTATAAAAGTCTAATGAATGAACCTTTAACACATGTAATGTGCTGCAGCATCCGTGTCTTCCGTGTTCATCGTCAGGGAGTCAGACAGGTTGTTGAGTCTGTGGGACAAAGCTTTTCCTGCCTTTGTTCCTTCTTCTTACCCTCTCCATAAAGGTCTTTGTAATAGTTTGAATGCGGTTAAGCATTCAAACCATCGTTTTCCTGTTTCTCTTTATATCTATGTTTGTTTCTTCCGTACGTTTTATGGACCGCTTCTTCTTCAAATTTTCAGCTATTTGAACTAATTTGGTACCAAAACATTCAGCTCTTTACGGCTATGACTCCACAAAAATAAACAATGATGAACAAGAGTCTGCTTGTAGACCTGCAGAAAGGGAAAAACAAACAAAAAAGGGACACACAACAATACATCAGGAGCAAGCTCTCACTACGCCAACCTGATGAGGAAATATAAACTCAACATTGTTTAACTGAACAATCACACGATAATAAATCACAGTGCATTTAGTGCCAACCACAGCCTTAAGACATGTGTTGAAAATGCCCAAGTCCATACTGATGAGAGCACCATGTGAGCACACGCGCTTGTATATGTAAGAATTCTCTATAGGAGCATCTGATAGAGAGTGTGAGGGGCCACAGATCTGCCCCCCAAACATGCGCAGGAGACGGGGGGAGCTCCAAGTCCCAGAGATCCAGGCGCTGCCCCAGAACACAGGAACCCCAAGGAGACTGCAACCAGAAAGGCCCCCGCCCCCCTCGAGAAGCACAGAGGATCGCCCCGGGGGGTCACAATCAGCAGCCGGCAGAATCCCGGGAGATATCAGCGGCAAGCCCACATGCCCACCCGCAGCCTCCCACCCCCAAGCCGGCCGAGCCCTGCTTCTAAACCTTTGAATACATTCAGCTCATTTTGACAGTTTAGCTTAGTTTCAGCCTCACTTCAGCTATTCAGCAGCTTCAGCAATCAATTTCTGAATTTGGCATATGCTGATAATTTCACAGTTCAGCTAAATGTAAAAATTGAACAGTTAAACTAGTCCTACTCAAATAACAAGTATTTAGTCATTTTAGCTATCCAGATTTAAAAAAAAATGTTCACAGATTTCAGTTTTCTGCTTTTTCAGAATTTTTCTCTATTCTTCACTTACTTTTTGTGCTTTATTCACTTGTTGGTGCTTTCTGCTTCTAAATCTTTCAAAACATTCAGTTCATTTTGACAGTTTTGCTTAGTTTCAGCCTAAGTTCAGCTATTCAGCATTCAAACTACATTTCTGCAAGAAATGCAATTTGTCTAGTTATTTCTGCTTTTGTTCCACATTTTAAGAACATTAAAATTCAAAGTGCCCTCTTTCACTTTCTGTAGCCTACAGCTGCTGTTATCCAGGAGTTCATGACCATGATGGCCATCTGTCACACTGCAGTCCCGGAGCGCACGGATGGGAAAATTACCTACCAGGCTGCATCTCCAGGTATAGTACACTTTATAGTAGAATGTAGCTCCTGGCTAGGAAGTGTGACGCCACTGTATGAGGTGTGTTCACACACAGTGGTTTGGTATTGCCATGTCTGGATGATTTTTCTTATTTAAATGACCCTGGAGTTTTACTAATATGCTCTCTTTTTAAGTAGTGAAGTTAAAGTACTTTAAATTACTTTAAAATTCAACTTCTATTCTTATCTAGCAGCAAATTAAGAATCAGAAACACTGTCAACAGGAAGCAGTGGTACTACATGAGATCATTATGACACCATTACGCTCTCACTTGTAGTTGGAAATGACATTTGCTGCCTTCAGGGGGCATACGTGTCAAAAATCACAGGAGCCAATAATGTGCTTTCTTCTCAGATGTTGCTCGGAGGCACATGTACTCTTCTTCATTCCAAACTGCTGCTGTGCTGCCACTCCAGGCCTTTAACTACAGCTCTGCTAATGAATATAATACAATGAGATTTGATGCAGCTGTTTAATTTAAAAGTTTCACTTTTGTTGATGTCAGGGTTTGATAATGACATCAATACAATCATAGGAACATGCAAGAGCCGGGAATGATGCTATTAAAAGAAAGTTCCCGTTTACACAAAGAAGGGTGTTTGTCACTCTTACTTAGTGATCCATTCTTTTATCATTTTCACAGTTCTGTGTATCTATTATCGTCCTTTTATCTGGGGTCAGGTCACAGGGGCAGCAGTAGCCAGACTTCCTTCTCCCCAGCCACTTGGACCAGCTTCCAAGGCGTTCCCTGGCCAGCTCAGAGACATAGTCCCTCCAGCATGTCCTAGGGCTTCCTTTAGGTCTGCTCCTGGTTGAAGGTGCCTGGAAAACCTCACCAGGAAGGAATCTAGGAGGAATCCTAACCAGATGCCTGAGACACCACAACTGGCTCCTCTCGATGTGGAGGAGCAGTGGGTCTACTCTGAGCCCCTCCCGGATGGCCGAGCTTCTCACCCTATCTCTAATGGGCCATTCCCATCTGTACCGGGTCGGCCCGGGCTGGGTAGCGGAGGTTGTTTACATATCTGGGTGGCCTGGTATTTTTCCGGGCCAACCAAGGCTCATTCTCAGCCCTCTTCTCGAGGGGGTCTGCTTCAGGCCGACCAGGGCCAACACACCCACTGCTGACAGCAAATTCACACCTTCCATTAGAGCAAGCCTCTTATTGGTGGGTAGAATCAGCCCACATGGGCTTAAGACAAGGATGTGTGGAATCAACCGGGCCAGGCTGGGGCCGACTGGGGCTACCCGGCCCGGGCCGACCCGGTACAGATGAGAATGGCCCATATGGGAGAGCCCAGCTACCCTGCAAAGAAAACTCATTTTGGCCGCTTGTATCTGTGATCTTGTTCTTTCGGTCACTACCCAAAGCTCATGACCACAGGTGAGGGGAGGAACTTACTGTAGATCGATCGGTAAATCGAGAGCTTCGCCTTCCGGCTCAGCTCTTTCTTCACCATGGCAGACTGGTACATCACTGCAGACACGGCACCAATCCGCCTGTTGATCTCACGTTCCATCTTTTTTGGACTCAAGACCTTGGTCTCAGATTTAGAGTAGCTGATTCTCATCCCAGCTGCTTCACACTCGGTTGCAAACCGCTACAGCTAAAGCCAGAGATCACGTTCTGATGAAGCCAGCAGGACCACATCATCTGCAAAAAGAAGACCTGATCCTCAGGCCACCAAAACGGGTCCCCTCACCAACTTGGCTGCTCCTAGAAATCCTGTCCATAAAGGTTCTGAACAGAATTGTTGACAAATGGAAGCCTTGGCCCTATTCTGTATAATAGAATGAAAAAGCTGACTGTAAACCAAAACAAAAAACATTTTTTGCACTTGTATACAATTTACATCAGCGGTACTCAATAGGCGTACGTCTTTGTGGCCCCCGAACCCCGTGCGAACCCTCCCCAGCAGCAGCCCCCGCCCCCGGTCCGGACCTCGGACCATTACATTTGAGTAAACCTGATTTACACTATGAAGTACAATAAATTACTAACATTACATCAAATAAATCAGTTTTCTGTTATGTGAAGAGACAAAGCAACTTTGTACTGTTCTGTTAATGGCTGAATATGAATGGGGCGTAACATTATGGGTCATGTGCACCAGTGAAGATTATCTCTGATGCTTCTGATTTGTAAGTACAGTTTTGTAGGTAAAGATGTAATCAGTTTAAGTGTGTGTGTATTAAGTGTGTTTTTCGTGTTTGATAAAACTATATATTTTCGATGAACCTAGTGTGAAACGGTTTGTGAAATTTCTGCAGTGAGAACAGTTATGTCAACTGTTGTAAACAGCAATGTGCACCTTATCTTCAGGTTTTAATTTGTTTTGATTCTAAAAATGTGTCAAAGTACAAAATGTAGTTGTTAAATAAAAAGTCATGTTCTGCTTCCTTGTTATCGGTATATGGCTGGGTATTTACCTGTGTGTGTGTGTGTGTGTGTGTGTGTGTGTGTGTGTGTGTGTAAGAATGTTCATTTGCATTTTGACTTTTTTTTCTGTCTATTCTCAAGATGAAGGAGCTCTGGTAAGAGCTGCTCGAAACCTTGGCTTTGTGTTTTCTGGACGAACCCCGGACAGTGTGATTGTGGAAATAGTGAGTAGAAGCAAATTTATGTTACGAGTTGTGTTTTTGTGTATGATGTGACTTTAAAGGTGCAGTATTTAAGAATTCAGTGGGAAAATCCTTAAAAAGTCTAATGTTTCAGTCATTTTGGAAGGAAGGTTATACTGAAACATGTTTCATATCCAGCTGGCTGTGAGGATTGTCAGTTTTTCTCCTTTCAAAACAAAAGGAGGGACGTAACTACTGCTTACCATCAGTGAGTGTGGGGTTGCCATGTCTCCTGCAAGCTGATGCTGCAGCACCAACAGTTGTAATTTGACGGCGGCTGACAAAAATCTCCAGAGTTGTTTAAAGTAGTTGAAGTAACCAAATGTTACCACAGCATGCCATTTTTACTTCATTTCTACATAATGCACCTTTAAACATGGAAAATATGAAACACTTTCCAAACTATGGGAAGCAAAAAAGAAACAACCCCCCAAAAAGTACCATTTCTTTTTTCCATGAAGACTTTTTTAAGGAAGTCACACAACCGTACAACATATAAAACACATTTTATTAGTTTAGTAATTATTTTGTTTTGCAACTTTTCATATTTAATTTCCATGTTAGTAATCATGCCTTGATCTTAAATTAAGAAAATGTACTCATTTAGGTCACAAGAATAAAAAAAAAGCCCTACAACATCACATCCTTATCTGAGGCGGCGCGTCTTCTCTGAGGCTCAGGTCACACATCCTGTCGCTAGCTTAATTAGCTAACCTGATAACTGCATTCAAGCACCCTGAGGCAGAAAAGGCTGGAATAATTTATTACTTTTCAATCCTAAATCAGAACTTCTCGTCTTCTCCAGGTTTATCTGATGTCTTCATCTTCATTAGACCTTCTGAAGCTCTTAATGACTATCTTGTACCTGGTGCTTTTAACAATTAAAGAAGTTAATTGAAATTTACCTCCTTATTCTCCCTCCATCAGCTCAGTGAGGAGACAAATGAAAACCATGTTTAAACTGCCATTAATGCTGATTTGGAGAGAACGGATGAGTTGGCTTCATTAGAAAGCCAAAGTAGAGATTTCTGCTTTAGAATGTTTGAGTTATCTCTTGTGTGTTTTTGTGATTTAGCTCCGAACGGAAGAAAGGTATGAGCTGCTTCATGTGCTGGAGTTTACAAGGTACTTGTTTGATGAGTTATTATTTTTAATAAAAATGTATTTCAATCCTTTCACATCATTGCTAACGTTATACTGAGATTTCAGCTGGATGTTACCTCTAACGGGGAGGCTTTTGCTCTTTCTCATTTTTGTCTCAGCGTGAGGAAGAGGATGTCCGTCATCATGCGCACCCCATCTGGGAAGATCCGCCTCTACTGCAAAGGAGCTGTGAGTGCCTGTCTGTCTCCATGGCAACATGCAACAGCCCATCATCACACATCGTTGTCTCTCCTGCCCTTATTGCCTCATCTTTTGAACGAGCACCAGGACAATACGTTAAGTGTTGTATAAAGACACGCCGTTACAAGAAGCACCAGATCTCCGTCTGCAGGGGCTCCTGGACTAACTGCACCAACACTGGGCTGAAAAGATGATGGGTTGATTGAAAGTTAAATCATGTTTCTCAAAGCAGTTTGCCACTTTTTCCCTAAACATCAGGGAATTACGTTGTGTAACAAGTTCTAATGTGTAGTAGAATGGTTACTACAAATGTCATTAGTAATATTTTATCATCTTTGTTTAATTTCATTCATGGAAATAAAGTAGAAGGCTGTTATTGTGTGTGCACGCTTTAAAAGTCCAGGATGTTAGTGTGTCTCCTTCCTTGGTGTCAGTAACCAATGAGAGCTCGTTCTCTTCAGGACACGGTGATCTATGAGCGTCTGGCAGACAGCTCCAGGTACAAGGAGATCACATTAAAGCACCTGGAGCAGTTTGCCACGGAGGGTGAGTGGAGAAACATTGCCCCCTGTCTTAAAATCCCTCTAACACACATCCCTCATTTATTTCTGGTCATAATCTTACTTTAGAAAAACAAAAGTTTTTGTTTTTTCCCACAACATCTTCAAGGAGCTGATTCAAGTGTGAGTCTTTAGAAGGGGTCCTAGCGTCTGGCTGTGCATTTATAAAAAGAAAAGAGCGGTAGAGTGTGTTTGGCATGTTCTGTGTTCACACTGCCCCCTTGTGAGGCACCCACAACATGATGTCATTGGGAATATTTGATGTTGGCTAAAAATAGCATTAAAGAAAGACTGTGAGGCTCTCCAGTTACAGCTGTATGGAAAGAGCTGAAAATGGCTACAAAGGAAATGGATTGTTTAGTTGATGGGTTCGTAAATGCTCTATGCCTATTGATTGTGATGTCAGAGGAGCACAATCACTGCTGCAGTGAATGAGTGGGACTGTAATCAGGGAGAAGCAGATAGATTAATATTTCTGTAATATATTTTTCTTCTTGATGTTTAATAAAGAAATGAATACCCTGCCAAGATGGTTTTGTTCTCTGGTGCCACTGGAACAAAAGTAATGATTGAACTGGGTGACGTGTTGGGACTCATCGGAAGGACTCGCAACATCTGACCTGAGCGTTGTGTTTGTAATCTTCCAGGACTGCGCACTCTGTGTTTTGCTGTGGCAGACATCAGCGAGTCGTCCTATCAGCACTGGCAGGAGATCTACCTCAGAGCTAGCACCTCCCTTCAGAACCGAGCCCTGAAACTGGAGGAGAGCTACGAACTGATAGAGAAGGTTTGATCTGAGGCGTCTGTGACTTTTAGAGAGATTACTCTTGGCTTGAGCTTGCACATAACTAATGGGGAGGAAGTGTAATTATGCCAGTAAACACTCAGAAGTTTAACATTGTGCCCATTTAGTGCAAAGCTGAGGCTTTGACCAGCAGGTGGGATCGGTTTTCTGTGAGGCTGGTCTGTTAGCCAAACACAGGAAGCAGCAGCCTTAAATCAACCCCTCTTGGCTCGTCTTAGTGGCTGCCCCAAACAAATGGAGGCAATCAATCACAAATGAAACGTAAAAGCTTTTAAAGAGGAAATTGTAACAGACTCTGCCCAGTGAGCTGACCGTGACACCGCTGCTTCCAGGGGTTTGCTGCAGATCAGGGCCACCTTACCTAAAAATATACGCAGTGATGCCACATGGGGGCACAATGGGGTTAGGATCAGAAGGACAGCACAGGACTTTTTAGGCAGAATTAATTTAAGTCACATCACCTCCTCTGTAAATAACACGGTATACTTTCAAAAACATTCAACATTTAATTTTTTCTATCATTTTTACTGTTATTGGCCTTTTTCCACGTTTAATTAGCCTAATCCATGAACAGGTTTTTTGTTATGTTGCATTTGAATTCCTAACATTATTAATAAACTGTTTATGCATAGAGACAAACATTTCTGAACAGATTGGTTTAAGCCTATGAGCTAAAGTAGAAAATTTTTGGCCCAGCTGCTCGTGACCTCAGTCAGCCATAAAATTAGCAAACTGCATTTTCCAGGAAAGTTATCAGCAGAACTGTTTCCCACATTTGAAGCTCCAGTTAAACAGAGGAACATAAAATTCAGAGCTGGAAGAAGTGTTTTCTTAAAGTTTTGACTCGGACGTCCAGAAGCAGCTCCTTTAAGTGTGGTTAAAGTGGCAAACCCCTGTGGTTCTTACATGGTCAGTGGAAGATTTGGTCCAGTTTTTACTCCAGAGTTAAAACATTAAAGCCGAGCAGAGTTCCACTCTTTAGAGTTGTGCGGTTCACGGTGATTGAACCGGACAAAGCTACAAGCATAAGGGCTCGGGTCACGACTCAAAAGAGCTTCCACAACCTTTCCTCTGCTGCAAGCTCCCGTCTCCCCTTTACCCCTGGGTCTTGTCAACCCTTTGGCTCCATGATGAGCCTTTACAAGTCCATAACCAATCCCACAGAACCGCAGAGTTTCCCTTTAGAAAATAACTGCATTTGCGGGTGTGCTTGTGTGGAAAAAATCATGTCCAGAGATGCCCGCTCACGGGGGCACCCTAATTGATCCAAAACCTCCTAAGCCAACGGTGGTTTTTCTTTGTAGTAAACAAACGCAGCTGATGAGGGAAAAAGCACGGGCTGACTGAGTGACACAGTCCCGACTCAGATTTTTGTTTGACACATGAGGTTTTAAAGGCCTTCCTCTGTTATGATCCCCACTTACTGGCTTTTTTTTCCCCCCTCAACTTTTTCTGGAGTAGAACCTGCAGCTTCTGGGTGCCACGGCGATCGAAGACAAGCTCCAAGATAAGGTACCTGAGACCATAGAGACGCTAATGAAGGCTGACATTAAGATCTGGATCCTGACAGGAGACAAACAGGAAACAGCCATCAATATTGGTAAGAAACGACAGGTTGAGGGCTTTACAGTCTTTGAACTTTGGGTTTTACCTACTCTGATGTGTGTTCTGCAAAGTGCCGTGCTGTTTTTCTTCCAAAATCATCAGTGGTGCGCTTTTTTGACTCCTGTAGCCGAGCAGCAGGATATGTTTTTAAATCTGCCCCCTTTCACCTAGAAACACTGCTCACACACAGGAGAAAAAAGCCACGACCGGAGCTTCATACAAGCTCGGCTCTACTACCAGCTGCTAATAAGAAACTGATGCTTGAATTGCTAACATATGTAAAGAGAAAACATCTATAGCTGTTTGCATTTTAGTTGCCTTTTCCCTCATGGTCCTGCATCATGACACACTTTGGCCTTGTTTATGCGTTTCGCTCTTACAGGTACCCCAGTCAGCCCTGCGGTCATTTCTCACTCAGCACCATCAACTACTGACAAGTTGAATGTTTCTCTGTCACACGTGTTTTTGTGAATGCATCTGTTGCAGCGTTAAATACGAGTGCTATACGCTGACGGGAAATCAATAACACGCATATGTACACAAGCAGACACCTTTCTCACACTTCTAGCTTCCTCAGAGGTTTTAAAAGATGTTATCAGGCCGGTTGAGCGTTTTTTACTGCATATTCCTCATCCTTATGTGCCCCGGTTCGATGGTTCTTTGATGTGGGGAAAGCACCAAAAGTGGATCAGGCTTGAAAGCAGCCAAATTGGTAACATAAAGTTTAGAAAAATAGATATCAAAGGTAACTCCGTTTGTGGGTGTACCTACTACTGAGGCACGGCTGAATCAGCCCTTTGTGCCCACCGTGCCCAGATGTGAGGGGACTCAGCCGAGGCTAACATTCACTACAAGTATTTTTACAACTCTAACAGAATTACCTTGTAAAACTCTGCTCAGTATTTTATACAATTTCTCACACTGAATCCCGTTGCCAAGGTAATAAAACGCTGTCCGCTTTTCCAAGTGATTTAAATTTAGCTCTTTTTTGGTGTAGCCTAAAACCTAATGCCACTTTTTATTAAGTGAAAGTGTGTGTTTACAGTGTCTACTCATGAACACACACTACTGCGAGCTAAGCATGTGAAACAGTATCCATACGCAAAAATATTGCTATATTTTTACAATGATACTGAATCAATGTTTAAAAGAATTGTGTTGTGTGGTGTAATTCAAACTCGGACCACTAGGGACAGTTGTTTTTACTGCCTTCATTCTAACAGAACAATGAGAAATCACGTGAACACTGGATGTGTTTTTTTTACCATGGGGAAGGGGGCATGTGTGTGTGTGTGTGTGTGTGTGTACGTGCGTGCGTGTGTGTGTGTGTGTGTGTGTGTGTGTGTGTGTGTGTGTGTGTGTGTGTGTGTGTCAGTGGAGGAGTGTTGTGAAGGGGTTTTTATTGTCAAGACTGTTTTTAAAATTCTGGAGATGGGAGGGAATAAGGGGCCTTTTTAATTTGTTAAGCACTTTGAGTTGCATGTATTGTAGGATTAAGTGCTATATGAATAAAGTTGATTGATTGATTGATTGATTGATTGATTGATTGATTGATTGATTGATTGATTGGAAGTGTCTGGCCTTTTCTAAGAACTAGCCCTAACCCTAATCTAAGTTTTCTAATTAAATTTTGTCTTAAAAATTGCAAATATTGTCAGACTTGTATTGTCATAATTAGGGGTGAGACATGATAGAAATAAATTAATCTAATTAATGTGAGGCTTTGTAATGAATTAATCTTGATTAATTGCATTTTAATTGTTTAAGACAATTAGTGCCCAGGCAGTTTCTTTTTTAATAAAAAATCATTATAGTGAGGTGCAGATGACATACCCACACTTTAATGAGTCTATTCGATTACTTTGGTCTCATTATAAAGGTAACCATTGTGGGATTAGTTGGGATGTGTAAATATTAGTACATGTGCTATTGGTGAAATGTAAATGGAACTCAACTGAACACTAGGTGGCATCAGAGCACTGCTAATATATATCGAGGTGTAGTGTAGAGTTCAAGGGAAGTTCTCCTGTGTGTGTGCTTGTCCCTCCTGCTGTAATAAAGTTCATATGGACAAAGTTACTGCCTGCCTGTTTTCTAACAACTAGAAAACATAAAAATAAAAACGTGGCCTTTTTTTCTTTCTTTTCTTCATGAAGTGTGATTTGCTAGTATTCATTTAAATGTAGTTTTAGTTGTGTTTGGAGCATGTAAAAAGGTTTATATGGTCTCGAGGGCTCAAAAATAGTGCATAATTTTTTTCCAAATTCATTAATCGTTATTAACACGTTAAATTCCCACCCCAATCATAAAATATCTTATCGTCTTCCATGTATTGTATATCATAGCACCAGATTCTTGCCAGCCCACAGCCCTACTGTGAGCTGATGGTTAAGAGGAGCTATAAGTATGTATTGCTATAGGGACTTATGAGCCAAAGTGTAATGAAGGGAAGGATCCTACAACACTGCTCACTTCACAAATGCTTCATAAGGTTTTACCAGAGGGAGCATTATTCACTTAAGCAGAGAGAGTAAACAACATCCCTTATCTGTCCTCCTAAATGTGAGCGCCAAATCATTTCACCGTAGTAGTTACTGTTAATTTTAATCTCTCTTTCTTGCTCCTGCCTTGAATCAGCGTTACATCCATTCTCAGTGCCCTCTGTGACCAAATCTGTATCTTTAATAGTTGCTCCCCTGGCAAATCTGAGATTACTGCGACATGTGTGTTGTTACACATTCCTCAAGGCCTTTGGGAGTGGTGTTTAGTTCCGCCTGGGCTGGAGAAAAAGCCAGGAATCGACTTTGGTGAAATTTAAAGAGAGGGAAGAAGAAAAAAAGTCTTCCAAATGAGCTAAAAGGTAAACACATTAAGCGGAAGGCCTGTGTCAAAAATGGATGGGGTGGGGGTAGAGACAGGGAGACATTTTCCACACGGAGGCAAATTTTTGGACATTTGCACCCTTGCACTTCACAAAACAATCTACCTGACCCCCAGACCGTGAGCCTGTTTGGTTTTAAGTCTGTAGGTGTGTGTGTTTACCGATCTGTTCTGAACTGTGTTTCGTGCATACTTTTATCTTGTTTTCACTCACAGAAGTGCCACCCATGTCTTCTCAGAAAGACAGGTTATGTGGTAACCCTCTCAAAAAGCACCAACCTCTCTCTCCAGACAGAAGCAAAGTGTTGAAGCCCACAAATATTCCTGTGGTTGCGCCACAGATGGCAGCCTTCTCACACAACCAAAGCTCTAAACTGAAGGTTTCAGTCTTCCTTACTGAAACATTTCTGTTCAAACCCCCCAACGAGAAGCTCCCTTCACCACTTGCTGCTGATCCTTGGTGTCTGTCCCCGCCAAGAGCTGCTCCCCAGAGAGCCATGTTGGGTAAACCAGGGCTTTAACTGCCTGTTAAAACAGGAAACTGACAAACTCTTGTAAAACCAAACTCATCAGTCATGCCTTAACACTCTCAGCTGTAACATTTTAATTAGTTGCCTTTGAAATATTACATTCCCTGTTTGATTTCATTTTCTAAATGTGTTTACTTGTGTACAGATGACAAACGGATATTAAAATCAGATTTATATGCTAGATTTTCATTTGAAATGCAAAGAAATTTATTTTTATTTTTCTTCACTTTTATTTTAGGACATTCCTGTAAACTGCTGACGAAGAACATGGGCATGCTTGTGATCAACGAAGACAGTTTGGACGTAAGTTTGCAAACTTAAAGAGACTATGGCTGTGTCCTTCCGTGACCGGTTAAACCGGATTTGGACAGTCTAGCCTTAAATAATAGTCCCACCCCTACTTCAGTGGATGTCCTCCTGTCACCTAGCAACTCCTACCACACTAAGAAGAAGCTGCAGAAATTGAGCTCGCACATGTTTAAAACTTTTTCCTTGTTTTGTTACTGTTTGAAAAGCTACAGCAGATGTAGCGCTGGTCAATTTGTATGTAAAGCTGAGACACAATGAGATGCTGGTATAGTATTATTTGCCTTTTTTAAGTCTAAAAGCTCTTACCAATTTCATGTCAACTCAAGCTAGCTTCATGACATGAGTAAACTGTGGTACTGAAAAACATGAAAACGCTACTGTTATTTCATATCCATCTGTGTGATGTCCCGCAGTGCATCTTGGGATTTGTAAAGGTGAGCAGACTACACCACACCTGTTCTCAAAATCAGGAGAAGAAGAATGGATTTCAAGACCGCATTCTGAGCACATTTTGAATTTGGACATTCTTTGTCATGGTGCTGTGACGTCACTGGTCTTAAAATCAGACCTCATGAGCAAGCTACCCCTGAATTTGGACACAGCCAATGTGTAGTTTTTACCATTAATATCTGGAAATATCCATTAAAATGTTGTTGTAAATGAATGAAATGTTGCTCAGAAGAATATTGGTGGCTTTGTAACATATAACTAGGGATGTACCGATCCGATCACATGCTCGGAAATCGGCCCCGATCACGTGGTTTCAGACTCGATCGGGACTCGGGCTTCCCGATCCAAGCCCCGATCCGGACTCGGATACTGGGGTCTAATTACAGGAGAGCAACTTGGTTCTCCTTAAAGGTTGTCAGGCTCCTCTGATGCCCTTAACTTTTACAGCCAGAAGGAGGTCAAAAAAGATCCAGTTTCTACCGATATTATATTATTTATATGGACTCAGCATAGCGGGGATTCTTTTGAGCAGAGATGCAGAGAGCGGCAGGCAGACCGCAGATTATTCATGAACTCCAGCTGCGTTCTGCACACGGCCACAGTAACATTTTCTAAGTTTCTAAGTGGCGTCACCAAAAAATATATAATTAACACACAGTCGTTCGTGTCTGTTCATGTTCTCTCTGGTAAGTTCTGTCCGTATTTGAGCATGACGTGTGGACGCGCTCGCGCTGCCTCCGCTGCAGCGCTCGTCTCTGGCGCAGCCGGGCAGCGCAGTGCACACTTAGTTTTTTTTGCGGTCAATAGATCAGTTTGATCTGCTAGTTAAAAAGTTACTTGTGAGGTGAAAAAGAAAGAAGCAGACAGGAGTTTTTCTGGAGGACTGGGAGATGCAGGAAGATCAGAGACAGACAGGACAGGAAGATAGGAAAATAAAAACCAAGAAAACCAAACAAAGTTCTTAAAAAATAAAATGTAGGTAGATTTATCCCACTACACGTTTGTGCCTATATGAAGCAATAATTTATCAGCATGTAGTATTTATATAGTTGATACAATTCAGATCATCTTCAAAACTCCGTCCCATGACCAGGGACGTATCTAAGCATTTTGGGGGCCGAGGCAAAATAGACCCCTGCCAGGTATTTTAAGTTGAAGTGCGATCTGTTTTGATATTAGACTTTTTATATCTGCAATAAAGTCCAAAAATGAAGAATTTGTGTTATTTATTACTTGATTGTTTAAGCTACCTCATCGAAGTGATCTGTTGTTAAAAATTAAAATAAAAAGGTAATTAAATAAAAAAAATAAGGAACATTCTGGAACTGTTTTTACCTTTTCTTTCTTTATTTATTTTTTTTTTTTATGCATCGAAAGTATCAGATTAGGATTCGGTATCGGCAGATTCTCAAAATCAAATGACTCGGACTCGAAGGCAAAAAAACCTGATCGGGACATCCCTACATATAACCATAAAAATCGGGTCTACAATATATGAGAGTGGATCCAAGTCTTTGGGAGATGCCATATTAGATGCCACGTTTCCTTCTACTGAAGCCCATGAGGACAAAATGCATTTACTGATTTGTAACAAATGGTTACAAAACTTTCACCATTCATAAGCGTTGTTGTTTTACACATTTACCTCTTCACTCTTTGCCAGTGATGAAAGGGAGTCTGATGTGCTTGTTTTACTGTAGGTTGAACGATCTGATGAGGTACTTGTTTGAAAATTGGGCTCCAAGGGATTTTTGACGCTAATGGCCATCCGTTGATAAGGTCTTACTCGAACACAAAAATACAGCTAGCTTACAATGATTTAGGTATGTACTGCCCCTTGTCGCCAGGGAAATACGCATCATCACTTTAAGTTACCACATGCTAAGTTTGCCTTTGTTTTACTAGATGTTTGACTGGCACTGTCACTACTCTTTATGTAAAGTCTTCCTTTTATAATTTTGCCTGTTTGCATTTTCTGTATCTGCTATGAAGAATCATTACTGCTAGATTTCGATGGAACGTGAGAGAATGCAGCATATTCATTTGAAAAGAGTGAAGAAAATGGGCTAGTTTTAATTTAGCTGATGTAAAGTTTAAATCAGATTGTAGAACAACAAATAAACAAATACCTACTTACCTAAACAAAGTCATGCATTTAGTAAAAACACCTTTAAATAATTCCCTAACAGGCAAACTTTTAAAATAACTGTCTCAAAGTTTAAAGAATAAATCCACAGGAGCTTTCCACATAAATCAACACGCGTTCTAAAATCCACATTTAACTTTAAGACACCAAGCAGTGAAGTCTGTTAACCCCCTCGCAGGAGGGCCTCGTCTGTTGTTCCTGAGATTGAAAAGGGCAAGTCCCTGCAATTTCAGCAGGAAAGAGCCAAGCACAGGAGCCGAAGCCAGGACTCTGCTGGGTTCAGTTTGTCAGACAAGATGAGGGAAATGGCACAAAGGAGTGGATGGAGGGGTGGGTGGGTGCCTCTGGGTGATGACGGACGGCCTTCGCTCTGTCAGGCGTTCGTTAGGCGTGATAAATGGAGCTGAGGTAGAATGTGGGGTCGTTGCATTCATAAAGCACACAGACCAGTGCTTTGAAATGTCAGCTTCCATTCTGCTGTGGTTGAGCAGATGCTTACATAAGGCAGTTTGTTAAAACTCAGAAAGAGAAAGCTCTCCAAGACTGAGAGCATTGAGCAGGGTCTCGGTGAGAGATCTCAAACCATTCAAAGAGATTTATTGGGTTCTTTTTAGCCTTGTGTAGAGATGATCATCAGAGAAAACACAGATTGTTTTAGGATATTTATCTCACTTAAACATATATTTCAGAAGGTAATCTCTATCCGAATTAAAAGTTTAGGCAGAGATCCTTCCATTGTTGAAAGCAAGTCCAGGCAACATTATTTTCTGGTATTTAAGGTCCTTCTTAGGATGTTTAGCCCTTGGGCTTTTCTTTACTTTGTCTGTCGTCAAGCAGAAGCAGGTAGTCGTGCAATCCGTAGTTTCTGTGGCTGTGAAGGTGGTTGTAGCCACTCCAGGGTTTGCTATGTCTTTGCAATCGGCTCCAAAATGCCACTCAATCATTTCTGCAAACGCGTGCACACGCTCTGATAGACATCTGTACATAAGTGGATGTCGAATGCTTTTGACCAATAAATTGCATGGGGCTCTATGGGATGAGGGGCGGGCTTATCAAAAACAATTGCCGTATTGCCTGCATTATGGGTAAGACTATAATTTTTATGTGTTCCTAAAAAAATCATACATGATTCTTAAAAAGGGCAAAACTCCAGGTTGCTACTGTAACCTGGCTGTGCTAAGTGTGAGTCAGCACACCTTTAAACTAAGTTGAAAACATCCTTTTAGTGGGCCTCCAAGTCAAAGACAGATGATGACATTACATCCATACAAATGTCCAGATTCCACAATGTGAGTGTCACGTCCTGTTGGCTATATCACTCAAGGCCTATATCAACAATGGAGCTCAGTCTTTACGGGACACTCTTGTGGATGTCTGAATGGACACCACATTCCCATTCCAAAACCAAACACTAGCTCGTCACATGGGCTGAACTGGTGATTATAGCCATAACAAAGAAGCTTTAGCAGCAGACATGTAGCATTAGTGATAAAATTCCTCAGTGGAATTAAGGGAGTAAATGAGCGTCCTGCTTGAGGAAATGGTAAACTCTCTTTATCACATTGTATGGCAGATCGGTTGTGTTCCAAACAAAGTGAATTCTTTCTCATACACATGGTGTATACAAGAGAGTATTCATGCATCGACACTGGGATGTAATCTGGAAGTACCCCAGTACTGCAGATGAAGCAGTATTACTTGAATGTAAATATCAGAACCTTTGGACACTCTGGCCCTAAAACACATGTGCTTGTCCCCAGCTCCCCGTCTCCTGCTGTTATACAGATCCCATCAGGGATGGTTAAGTCTTCACAGCTGCTCTCTGCTCGTATCCTGCTCACGTTCTCTTGTGTTAATCCATCATCTCTTTCCGTGCATGTCTCTCACTCTTCTGCTCTCGCTTTGTGAAACGTAAAGCCCCCCTCTCCAAATATTTCCCTTAAGCTGAGGTTTCAGAGTTTTGTTATGCCAAGCGAAAATTGCGTGGTCCCCATGGTACAATCTCAATGCTTTGACATTTCTGACCTCCACACCAGGCCAGACCCCTTCCTCCTCGGTTTCTCTTAATGGCCACCATTTTTTAAATGATTTCAGCTGTTTGGGCATCTGCTTCGCACCTTATGCTAAACACATTTAATCTTTGATTGTTACCTATCTGTTTACAATTAAAACCACATATATAATTTTTGGATTTGAGAGCAATTATTGTAAGATATTCTTTAGATTATGGTAAAATATGTTAGCCTGACCTGCCAGACTTCTCCTCTGTTTAATTCTGCACTGAGAAAGGGTCTCCTATTCAAATAGCCCCACCCCCTGAGAATTGTAACCGAGCCAATCAGTGCTGAGCAGCGTACATCACACCACAACGCCGAGTTTGTCATAAACATGGCGACTGAAGCGGAGTTTGCTGCGGCTCTTTCCTCTGTTCTAAATGACTTGGACACGTCTTTAAAACCACAAGTAGAAGCGCTAAAAGCCTTTCTTTCTAAAGAAATAAAAGATGTTTGCCCTGTCGCCAGACGCCAGTTTTGTCTACAGCTAAAAAACTAAAGCGTCGCGGACGTCACTCACAGCGATGCTCAGTTTCTCATAAACAACGAAGACAGCGACGGAGTTTGCAGTGGCTCTTTCCTCTGTTCTAAATGACTTGATGGTCTTTAAAACCACAAGTAAAAGCGCTAAAAGTATTTCTTCTTAAAAAAAATTTGGATGTTTGCGCCGTTGCCAGACGCCATTTTTGACTACAGCTAAAAAACTACAGCGTTATGCGGTACATGCGGCATTTCCGTCTTTTTTTTTTTTGACTGGTTATTTTTGAGCTGCCTAGTCCTGCCCCTCATGTGCCCCTCTGCCTGTAAGTAACCAGACTCTTTCTCTGTGCAGAATTAAACAGAGGACGAGTCTGGCAGGCTAGGCTAAAAGTATGTCCCTCTGATTATCAATTATACCGTTTTATGAGACGTTTTAAGTCAAATGAAGTGTTATTTATCTGTATGATATTAGTTTCCATCTGAAAGGGTTTGTTAATATCTATTTTTTTACTGATGACTTCACCATGTGTTGAATTGGAGGACAGTTAGATGAAAATGGTGATGATCTCATCGCTGCGTCTATTCAGACACTGTATCAGGACAGTTGATCCTATTGTCAGTCTCATATTTAGATCTTTTTATCATCGCTCATCATCTTGTTTGTATATAGTTTGAAGATAACAGGCTTTGTTCATAATGCCTCATAGCCAGAGTCTTGGTGTAATAAATATGACAATCATAATAAACATCCAGTATATCCAGAGCAGCTGTACCACAGCAGTTTGGGATCAGCAAACAGATGTGTCTGTTTTTTATAATAATGTAAATGCAAGCTAGACATACATTATCATACATTTATGTGGTTTTGTACACCAACACATTTTCTAGTTGTTCTCCTAATCATATAAACGTTCATGATCCTAGTAAAAAATGTTCTGACCTTCTAATTAAAACTAGAGGATAACTGAAATATATTTAGACTTTGTTTTTATCTGATGAATGTCTAACACTCAAAATCAAGAAGACTTGAAATGACATCAGTCAAAGCTACACTAAGGCCTGTTTAAAGTCAGGAATAGTGTGATGAGATAAACTCAATTGTTGGTGTTCAAAATGTTAGAAAAACAGATGAATTATTCAGTTTTTGTTGTTTCTGCAGTATCAAATTCATCTAAATGCATCAAAGTCGACTTCATTGACATTACAGATGGAGAATTATACATTTGTATAGCACATTCTTAGGGTTCTGCATCCCCCCCAAGGTGCTTTACAACACAATCAGTCATCCACACATTCACACACACATTCACACGCTGGTGGTGATGAGCTACGATGTAGCCACAGCTACCCTGGAGCGCACCGATAGAGCCAAAGTCTGCCGAGCACAGGCGCCACCGGTCCCTCCGACCACCACCAGCAGACAAGGTGGGTTAAATGTCTTGCCTAAAGACACAACAGCAGCATTCTCTGGTCGGAGCTGGGATCGAATCTGCAACCTTCAGATTACTGGACAACCCGCTCTACCTCCTGAGCTACTGCAGTCCCATTGTCCTGCTGAGAATAGTAAAAGGAAAACCACTGTGTAAATCATTCACAATGTTTTAAACAGTTTGGAATGATTTGCAGTGTCCAGAGGAAGGTACACTTTGGTCAAAAGAATGAAAAATAAGAGTTATGGAAAACAAGTTCTCTATTATGACACTAGCATATCTACATACAGCAGTAGATCAGGAGGTAGAGCAGGCTGTCCAGTAATCGGAAGGTTGCAGGTTTGATCCCAACCAGAGAATGCTGCTGTTGTGTCCTTGGGCAAGACACTTAACCTGCCTTGTCTGCTTGTGATGGTCGGAGGGACCGGTGGCGCCTGTCTTTGGCAGTCTTGCTTCCATCAGTGTTCCCCAGGGCAGCTGTGGCTTCATTGTAGCTCATCATCACTAGTGTGTGAATGTGTGAATGACTGATTGTGTTGTGAAGCGCCTTGGGGGGGTTGTAGAACCCTGAGAAAGTGCTGTACAAATACTGGCCAGTTACCATTAAGTAGAAATTATACAAGTAAATCAATGTGGGGTGTGGTAGTTTCAAATGTATCCTCCTACAGCCTAAACGATAAGGCTCAACACAGTGATATGTTTTAATCACACAGGCAACAAGGGAAACACTCAGCCACCACTGTGGAATGCTGGGAGATGCCGTCTACAAGGAAAACGACTTTGCTCTCATTATTGATGGGAAGAGTCTTAAATACGCTCTGACGTTCGGAGTGCGGCAGTACTTCCTTGATCTCGCCTTGTCCTGTAAAGCCGTCATTTGCTGCAGGTAAGATTTACCCCTCGCGTAATAAAATAAGCCTGAAAAGGAAGGAACAAGAACAATTGAGACATTCGAAGAGAGCTGCAGCTGTGGACATAATTAAAAAGTCATACAGTAGCAAACATTGTAGCATTCAAACTGAGGTGAAACTCCCAAGACCAAAGTTGTAGAAATTCACTCTAAAATCAAAATAATTTGGCACAAAGTTTTAAGTTAATATGTAAACTGTTTACTTAAACTACCGTACTTCTTCGCCACATAGGTCTGGTTTTTCTAGCTGAAGGTGTTAAAAAAGTATGACACCAATAAATTAAAAGGGCTACATCATAAAGGTGCCCTAGTGACCTGCAGAGGCCACATAAACAGTAGGAAGTACTTAAGCACTCAAGTGACCATGACGGTGTACAGGGCCTGAACTCAGCACCGTGTTTTCAGAACAAATGCAAACTTTTACTTGCCACACTATTACTGCGTACATAATGTCACATTTGTATTTACTTTTCCCCCTCTTCTACCAGCCTTTGCCTTGAGCCGGCTCTGTGGGCAAGATGATACACCAGAGGGATGAATGAGACCTCTTAAACCTCAGAGAACATAAATATTAACAGTTAAACTCTAAGAGACAGGCATGCAGTTTCCAACATTATCTCCAGAGACTTTTGCTGAATTTGGTGCACAAAGGTAAAACTTGCATGTTTTGCTGCAAAGCATAAGTAAACAATTCATGCAGAGATGGTCTTTTTTAAAGAATTAGAGTTAGAGGCAGTCCTTACATGGTAAAGTGAAGACAGAAATATTCTAAGTTCCATACGGGAACTGAATAAATACGTTAACAGAAGCTGTGCATAGCATCTAAATGTACTGAAATGTTTTGTTAATCAGTTCCAAAATACAACATTATTTCAACTTTGACTTATTTTATTTTGACTCCACTGAAAGAGTCAGAAAAAAGGAGGAAATACTTCTATTGGGAGCTGCAGACAGATTTTTGCTGTGTCAGCAGCCAGTTGGCCTGGCACAGAGGAGCTCTAATGGAAAGGTGTAACACTTCTGCAGAGACTAGCTGCCCGGCAATCTTATGTTTCTCACACACAGTTATTCATCTCATTCAACCAGCAGCAGAATACATAATAACTGTCTGAGCACCATGTTGATAAATTACTGAAGGTTTTATAAAGGCCTGACCTAAATACGTCTACATTCTTAGTGTGTAATGTAGACGTGAATAATAATTTTTTATTACCAGAACTTCGGGAATTGACCATTATTTTTCAAACTGGACTGTCACCTACTTACTGAAAGGATCGGTTTATAGGAAGTTATCACATCTAAAGACACAAACGAATAATTTCTACCAAATAAATGTATTCCACTGATCTTTACACTGTGGAAACCTCTACACCAAAAGAAAGGGTTGTTCTTTGATTGGTGTTAGTTGAGGAATGTGAGTCGTGCCTCATGAAAACTGCATGTTTGAAGGTAATGAAAAAAGACTAATGATCATCTTCCTTTTTTTTGTTTTCTAGAGTTTCTCCTCTTCAGAAGTCTGAGGTGGTTGAAATGGTAAAGAAACAGGTGAAGGTGATCACTTTGGCCATTGGCGATGGTGCAAATGACGTAGGAATGATCCAGACAGCTCATGTTGGTGTGGGAATCTCAGGCAACGAGGGTTTGCAGGCAGCTAACTCCTCTGACTACTCCATTGCTCAGGTGAGAGCTCCGGGAGAGGCTTGGAAAGGTCACCAGTTTCTACATTCACTGAAAAAACATTTTTTTTACTTATTTTTAAATATGATCGGTCACTCTTGTGTTTTTCATGCATGCCGAACATCAAAATAGTGTACTGCATTAGCTTCTGATAGTAATCAGAAAGATCTACGTCACACTGTCACACATGGATGTAATTTTGGGGGGGACAGGGGGGACATGTTCCCCCCACTTTTGCCAAAGTCAAGTTTTGACCCCTGCACTTTTTACCATCCAAAAACAATATTACGCTATATGAAATTGACACTGGTTGAGCTCTAGGACCAAGCAGAAAACAACCGTTTGTGTTGAAGCCCGTTTCCCATTAGAACATACTGTAAAGATCCCCCCGCCCCCCCCACTTCTAAAGTGAAAATTACTTCCATGCTGTCACAACATTCATGGACTCACCCATCTTGACTCACGACAGCTCGCAGAAGGCTCTTGTTGATTTAGCGTCCAGGAAACCGCAAAGAAAGTCTCGACTAGAAGCTACCTGTTAGCATTAGCAGCTCCACAGCACTCTAGAATTCCTTTGTTGCTTATTTGTGCAGATAAGACATCAGCGTTGCAAAGCAAACAAGTCAGTGGTAGAGTTGCGATGTCGCTACGTGAGTCATCAAAGCTTGTCATTCAGTTTTACAGAGACTGAGCTAAAAGTTGATGTGTTTGCAGCTGACAGTGGTGTACAGCAAATACTTCAAACAGATCGCAGGGCATCGTGTGATTATACAAAATGTTTCTGTAATTGTAATAATACTAATAACTTTAGTTTTAAATTCCTTTCAAACAAAGCGCTGAACGGTAAAGTATAAGAGTAGTAAAAATAACTGTAATTTCATCATGTCACAACATAGTAGGATCTTTGATTAAAGAAAACACAAAAGGTGGTGTAAAAATGGATGATAATGCACTTGTGAAGTGCATTTCTAAAACCGAGGACTCCAAAGTGCTTTATACTACAGCGAACCATCCGCAGATACCCTGGGACACACTGACAGAGGCAAGGCTGCTGTACACAAGCACCCCCGGTCCCACCGACCACCACCAGTAGGCAACAAGAGTGAGTGTCTTGCCCAAGGACAAAAGATGCATGATTGCAGGAGCCTGGGTTTGAACCAGCAACCCAGCAATTACAGGGCAATCTACTAACCCCAGAGCCACCGTTGCACCCTCTTTGTGTATGGTATTCCTTCCTTCAAAGGATACCAGTTGTGTAATTTAAAACAAGTAATTCATCAAAAGATGTCCCAATGGAGCTGCATGTGCATCTATCCATCAGTTTGACAGCAAGGCATTTCAATGGCTGCCATTCCCGTCGCTGCCTCCTCTTGTAGGACGTGTAAGCAATAGGTTTGCTCATTGTTCTTAGTACCAATGGATCAAGTGTCTGGAAGGATTTTAGTTGATAAAGTGAAGTGGTAACACCTGTAAAACAGGCACCTGGTGACACCTGACTCCCAGCATGATGCTGCAGAAACAGATTCTGTCTAAATGTCATTAAACAAACACTCGCATCCTGGTTACCAGTTAATCTGAAACTCTGCATCGATATGTGATACGTGTTTACAACAAAAGCCACTGAGTTTCTGTGTTGTGGTTCTGTTCACCAACGACACGCTCAGTGCATCGTGTTTCTATCAAAGCTTTAGGGGCTTTAGCGTATGAGAAACCAGTAGGACTCTTTCAGTATTGGAGCATGCAATTGCTATTCAATAGGCTCTGATTGTTGTAGCTCAACAGAGCTTCTTCAAAATAAATGAGACGAGACCTTGTCTTGCAGTTGAACTCAAACTTTAGTGAATTAGAACACCTTACAGGAAAATCACGTCACTTAGTGCCAGTTTTTCTCGAACTCCACCCACTTCGCGTTTTTTTGCTAAGCCTTCTGGGAAACACACTAAGCCTTATGGGTAATGAAGTTTTTAAAGGTTGCACAATTCTGAGCCTCTTAACTAATCTCAAATCAGAAAATACTGTCTCATATCACTAAATAATAATCAGATTAAATTAGGGCTGCAGCTATCGAATATTTTTGTAATCGAGTACTCTATCGAATCTTTTTTTCGATTAATCGAGTACTCTAATAAATTACCCTTTTGTGTTTGTAAACCATTATATAAAATAGCATGTTATAAAATATGAAAGACCTCTCAAAATGAGCAATTGCCAGTTATTCTTCAAGTTTTATTCAAAATTAAGTTTGCAAAACTTCAGCACTTCAACTTTACTTCACAGTAAACAAATGCCTGTGCAAAAAATAAGTAAACAACCTGAGCCGATTTTCCCCTCGTGCGAGAATCTGCTAGCCTGCAAGCCAGACAAAAACTAGGAGGATAACTGTTGAAGTAGCGCTGCGAGCGGCTGCGGCCCAAACAGAACCCGAACCGCTCACGGCGCAAACAGCTCGCCGGCAGTTTCCCTATTAACACACGTCCGTTTTAATTTCTACACTTTTTTCTCTCACACAATAACAAGGAATGTCGAGAAAGCATGTTTGCTGTGGTTATGTCAAATTATACTGATCACAAAACATTTATTTACTTTCTTTGTTTTCCTCCACCACTCATAAATATCCGTGTCCTCCTGCAGCAATCCTGAGGGACAACAAATATCAATAACAACACAATAAAAAGTCCGACATATTGTGTAAAAACTGCTATTTTTTAGCACATTTTAAGTCCGACGTGTTGCTACCAGACGTACGGTGTGAGCTGAAACTGAGTGCTACAAACGAAAAAGTTGCACAGTGTCCACAGAATATATAGAAATACAGGCTAAAATGCATTAACTTGTAGAGGCTCCGAGTCCGCTTGCAGAAGTGACATTTACATGTGCTGCAGCTTGGAGGATGTGGTGTTGTGGTAGGCTAAATCCATTTTACAGTATTTATACTGGACTACGTCTTCTGCCTTACGACGTGAAAAATTGTCCCACACCTTTGACATTTTCTGTCTTTTTCGCACTCCACCGGGGTTCAAGTTGTCCGCCATGGCTTAAGAGAAAGTTAAGTTACATTCGCTACTCGCGTGTGCATTCAGTCCAGTGGGCATGTGCGTCACTTATTTTGGTCCGGGTGAAACATGACCCCGTGCGTTTGCAAAGCCATGAATTAATTAAATATGAATTAAACGAATCCTCGAGGCAGAGAATTTGACTCGAGGATTTTTTGTACTCGAATTATTCGAGGTACTCGAGGAATCGTTTCAGCCCTAGATTAAATAATATGTCCTTGGTGAACACTCAAATTCAACATTTCCATGATCTGACATAATAGTCATTTCTATTTGTTACTAGCATTAATATAACACCCCCCCCCCCCACCCTCCACCCCCCCTTCAAAACCAGGTGGTCTCCTCGTGTCTTTAGGTTAAATTTCACCTCCAGACTTCCACTGGTATTTTAGTGTTACAGTACATTAACTGTAATTTGCTGACTGGACTGACATCCATCCTAGGAAATGACATAACTTGTTTTTCTTATCCCTGTACATGAATTATGAAAATGTTCCAGAATGTCAGATGTGTTCCTTGCTGCTGTAGATTGTTAGGTAGCTTCTTTCTAGTTTTATACTTGACAACTCGGAGTTATCTGTCTTTTTAAGTGTAGTGTTAAGAGGTTTGGGGTCGAGGCACCTCTGCTGTCCATCTGTCATCAACTTGGCTCCGTGTGAACTGATGTTTGATCCAGCAAAGGGGGGGTCACACAAACTGAGGCCCACCTCTGTGCTTTTATTTCAACAAAGAGCTTGGTGGTGATGCTGAAACATGAGCAGACCCTCAAATGAGCATGTTACTCTCCTCCTAATGGATGCCATCATTTTATTGAGTTTGTTCATCTTAGATTTGCAGTTTGCCAAATGATGCATTTTTCTTGTTTATTATGTGTAGTTACGGATATAAATAAGACATAAATGAATATATTATGAATGATATTAAAACTTTCATATCATGCTATTTCACACTTTTGAAGAAGAAGAAGACAATCTTTTATATAGCGCCTCTCAAGATTAAAATCACGAGGCGCTTGATATAAGATCATTAAAGATTATAAAGTGATGACGATCTACCAAAGCTTAGAGACCGTAAAATGGTTCATTTGCATTCTGTCACCTGTGCTATTATTTCTGGATGCATCTACCGACACACACTTTTACTCAGCCAAGTCACACTAGTCTGCTTCTGTCCGCACAACAGACACACCAATGAACCAGTCAGAGCAAGCTTTAGGCAGCGTGTTGGTTTGTTTAGCTGGGGTGCTCAGTAGAGCTGAGAAAAATAATCTAATAATCGATGTATTAAGATGCGGACAAGCATTAGCCACTAGCTTGTTCCATCTCTAAGCGGTTGTTACGTGTATTCTCACGCATCTGCTCGATAATCACGGAATCTCTGGGTCAATGTTGCGTTTGTGTTTGGCTTTGTGGTTTTTATTATTTGGAGACGTTCGTGTGTGTTTAAGCGAGCCTTTTCACTGTGGCTGCCGATCGGAGCTTTGTTCAAGACAACAGTCACAAAGTGCTGAATGCAGAAACACCATAATAAATCATCATATCAGATAATTCTGTTTTTTTTTTTTTTGCCTGCAGCCCTACAGTCATGCATTTTAAGAACTTATCATTTTGTCTGTTTGCAAGAGGACGTAATAAAACACTGCCTTAAGGTTTAGCTCCAGTCAGGATTCCGATTAGCTGCAATGTTGCACCAAAAATTCTACATAATTGAGTAATCATGAAGCCATTCAACTATTATGTTCAGCTTTTGGAGATCAGTGCCCCTATAAGAACTCCTGTAATTACAGTAACTTAAAGCTTGACCCTACAGTTAGTGACTGGACATTTGAGGAATGTGTTCTTGAGGTATACGGCCTAAATATCCCATCAGTTAATGCATATTTTGTTGTAAAAAGGCAAAATACCGCTATAGTGTTCCAGTCATTATCTGTAAATGTGAAGAGCATTTTAAAATGTATTATAATCAGATGGTTGCCCTTCATTCATCACTCTGTTTGCCTCCCACGCAGTTCAAATACTTGAAGAATCTGCTGCTCGTCCACGGAGCATGGAACTACAACCGTGTGGCCAAGTGCATTTTGTACTGCTTCTACAAGAACATTGTTCTCTACATCATTGAGGTAAGTACACAGCGTCTTTGAAGACTGAGAGTAAACAAAAACTCTCCTCATTAGAGTTTTATGTTTGGGCTCTTGTACAGCCGTTTCCTGCCAGTTGGTTCTGCTCTTTGGTGAGTGGTTTGAGTTTTAACAAATCTGGACAGATTTACAGCTCTACTCGCTGGGTTTTAATCTACATTTATAACAAACATAAAGTCTGCTTTTAGAAAAACAGAGCTGTACCATTTGTTTTTTTTTTTAGTGTATATTTTATGTGTTCAGCCCTGGTATCTAAAGTTCATCCAGGCTGAATTCTGTGTGGATAGTTTTGGACGTGTTGATCCCAGCACTGGTTTGTTGGTGGGTTTGATGGGATCTGACAGAAACCAGAGACTGTGCAGATAGCTGCTTTAGCTGCATCAGAGCTATCACCAAGAGTGACCAGACAGGCTAAGGACGTCCTTTCAACAGCACCTTTATCACTGCCTGTGCTCAGATGTTTTCTTCTATCAGTCCATAGTTTCTTTGATGAAAACACCACGTTTGTGTCACTGGAGAAATTTTTACTGACTCAAAGTTCACGTTCTCAGTGACGCCCAGTTGTGGTTTACTGATGTTACCTTTTATACTGACAAACTTATTATTCTAAACACCCATCACACAATTGTCTCCAATTGACCACTTGTGCAGTTGCATGTAGCTTATACTGTCATTTTTTATTTAAAATATTTACGGAACTTTCACCCCTCCCCTCGAGTATCTTCCCTGAGATTCTTCTGCTGGAACCAGAAACCCGCAATGCCAGAGGAAACGAGAGAGTGCCAAACACCAGTCTGTGTCTTCTTTTTGAGACTTTGGTAGTTTGTCCTAAAGATGAAGTTGTAGTAGCCGGCTGTTTCTCCTTCTCTGATATTAATGAGCAGATAACCTCTCACACCAGTGATGATCTGTTGTTAAATATGTGAGTGGAGAACCCAGGGAAGTGCGCTGGTTCGGCAGGATATACAACTAGATGATGCAATAGTTGTCTTTGGCCCGAAACGTGCTAATGACAGAGATTTTTAGGCATAAGCACGAGAAACACTTTATTATTTTAATTGTTTTTTTTTATTCCACAACATATTTATATCTATACAATGTTAAAATGTTGTTAAGAGGCATGAAAGCAATGTTTTAAGCTAATTTGGTTGCCAAATTATCTATAGAGCTCCGGGAGTTGACGTCAATTCTCCCGGCATGCAACAGTTCAAATCGAAACAGTGCCATATTGGCAGGCAGAAGCCCGCAGCTAGACTATTTTTTATTGTCAGAAAACTCAATCAAACAGGAAATATGGTAGATTCCTGTTGTGCCCCAGGATGCAGAACAGACACGGACGACATAAGGAATGAGCCATCTACAGGATTCCCTATGATCCGGAGCGCCGCAAACGTTGGATCATTGTAATAAAACACTTTAGTGACCGGGCTGAAATGAAGTTGTGGAATCCCGAGAGTAAAGGTTTTCGCTTATGCAGCGACCACTTCATATCATTACTTAAACCAACGTTTCCTCAACTGTGTATGGTATTTATTTTAAATGCTTTTATTATGATTCTTAGTGGGCTTCCTAAACTTATTTAGGCGTGGCTTTTTCTGTCTTATTACTCACAGCAGCAAGTAAACATCATGTAAAACGTTTCCTCGTGAGTTCTGCGTGCTGCCGTTTACGTGTTTTATGATCACAGCAATTAACCGGCTAAGCTGTATTTAATTTTTAAGCAATGGTTTATCAATTGCCAGATCACCCATAAAAAGCACTTTGTATTGCCATTATCTGTCTCACCGAGACAGATCTCAGACAGATCCTGAGACGCTCTTGCCTGACATTTTTATTTTATTCACGGAAAAAAATCAAACTAGTGATTTCTCTTGGCGTTCAGTTTATACATTCAAACAGCACAGCACTCTATTTAAACTACTTAGGTGTAAATCTGTTATTTGCCCATCCATCCATCCATTTTCATCCGCTTATCCGGAGTCGGGTTGCGGGGGCAGTAGCGTCGAGAGGCCCAGACTTCCCTCTCCCCAGCCGCCTGAGCCAGCTCCTCCAGGGGAATCCCAAGGGGTTCCCCGGCCAGGTCCAGTAAGAAGTCCGCTCCGACAGCTTCTGGCGTTTTTAAAAAGTATCCCAGGGGCACGGTAAGGGACGGAGATGTTTAGTCTATTTAATTTCTGACTATATAAAACGACTTCTTCGGTTTTAAAGTGTGAAGTAAACTCCAACGAAGTAAAATCCAAGCCGATCCCGTTCAGTTTGTTTACATTTGTTGCCTGCCAACATGGCGTCTACTCTCTGAGAGTCACGTGACGTCTGGAGCTCTATAGCAGCTTTAATCAGGGTAGAATATTATTCTTGTGAGAAGCGGATATGTTGTGACAACTTTTAACACTGTAGCTTTTACCTACTTATGTGGTCTTGATTAAGTGTAACGTTGCCTTATTGAAAAAAAACCTCCATCTTAATGTTGATTTTACTTCATAGTCCAAACTCCAGGAGGTATTAATGGAGTCTTATTGTCTTTTTTTTTCTTTTTTCCTGGTTCCTGTCTGGCTTTAAAACTGATGTCTGAGTCCCAAGGACAGTTTTACAGTTTTACTCTCACAGGTGCTGAAAAGCACACAGTAATAATTTATAGTGAATTTAGTGCCAACCACAGCCTTAGATTATGTGTCAAAAATGCCCAAGTCCATACTTTTGAGAGCACCGTGTGAGCACCTGCGTGCATACATGTGCTTGTGTATGTAAGGTTTCATATAGGAGTGTTCATTAGTAAGTATAAGGAGCCACAGACCTGCTCCCACAGAAGATGGAGGAGTTTTAAGCCCCAGAGATCCAGAGGTCCTTCCCGGGAGCACGGAGACCCCAGAGAGACTGCCGCCGGAGAAGCCCCAACCCCCTTCTTGAGAGGCGTCGTATTGTCTCTATCTTATTGATGGAGTATTACAAAGAACAGAATGGGCTCTTGATTGCAAGTTTAGAATCAAGGTTCCATCACTGCTGAGGTATTTGAAATGGTAGAAATTTAGAGAGATTTTTCCAGTCTTTGAATTCACCATGTTGTAAAAAAATGAAAGCAAAAGAACAAAAAGAAAAAAAACATGAGTTACACTTTGTCTCCTTTTCACATGTTAAGCCACTGGCAATCAACATAATCTGCTACTGAAATGTGAGCATGTTAGCATCTTCTTTTGTTCATCCCTTTCTGTGACACTTGACCCCTGATGGCTTTTATCCTCGTTCTTGTTTATGTTCCATGAAAAATCAGTTGGCGGTGCCTTCAACATTCCAGCGTGTCTGCTTCATGATCACGGTGACATAAAGTGCAGAAGGGTCATTGATTAATGTTATTTTTTCCAGACTACAACTGCAGTAATAAATCTATGGCATCTGTTCAATCACACAGTCATTTTCCAGATCAGGTTAAATACAAGTTACGCTTACAAATCCAGAATATAATTCAGTTTTCCGCTGATTAAATTATTTGTTGGCAAAGCCATTTTGTTTGACATCTTATTTTGAGCTAAATATGGATTCATTTGTTTTTGTTTTTATTCAGATTTGACCTTTATGGTGCTTTATTTAACATTTAGGATAAAAAGAGATGGAAAGCTCTTTAAATGTATACGCTTCCAACAATAAAGAACCTGATCATCTTACTTTTTACTCTTTATGAATTCTAAATGTATAATCCAGTCAAACCTGTGCAGCTCTTTTGCATGCAACTGCACCTGCTCTTAGAAACGTACCAGGTCTGTTGTCAACAACAGAAACACAACATCTATAGCTCCGGTGCACCTTTTTATTTCCCTCTAAAAACTGAAGAGCACTCCCCCACGCCACGCTGCCCTCCTTCAGGCGACTGAAGGAGATAATAGGACATTTCTTTGCTGTTTCATTGCCTCTGTGTTTCTGTACCCTGACATATAACACACCAGCAGCCTTGGGGTATGAGTAAAAGCTGTGTTTGTTGCACTAATAGGTTTCCATTTGAGCTCTTGTGTTTTTCCTCTTCGACTTTCAGGATAAATTTCAAGGAGAGAATCAAAGAGGTTGATGGCAATTTTAACTTTTGTTTACAGCATCATTGTCCGATACAGTGGGTGAATACCGGTACGAGGGCCTCTTTTCATCCCTCTCCCTTTCCCCCTGGGTCTTTGATTCATTATAAAAGACACAAGGAAGGAGGGCTAGGGACTCTTGGGATTTGTGGGTCTTGAATGTGAGCGCTGCTTGGTTTGAAGGTTTTGGACCATTTAGGGGTTTTCTGAAGGTCATTAATGGTTAATTATTAGTAAGAATAAAAAAGTCCCTCTTTATTTGTTGATGAGCAGGTGAAACCACTTGTTTATTTTGTCTAAATTAGATTTGGAACTGGTCATGCTTGAGGCATGACTTTCTATCTTGATCACCCAAAAAACTTTGTGAACTTACTTTTAAACACATTAGTTCAGTATCTTATGAATTACTCTATTGGGTTTTAGCGCCGTTAAAGTTCCCATCTGACTAAAGAACAGTAGTGAGACGGACTGAAATCAGCCACGTTAAGGCTAACAAATCTTTGTAAGAGAAGCCCTAGCAACTACATTCAAATGATTGTTGTGACCATTTGATTGATTGACACATTATTGGGCACTACGTAGCTGAGTGAGGGACAAGTGGCGTTTATGAGGCAATTACATGAAAGCTTATGGAGTTGAGCTTGGTGTATTTGGAGGCGGTGTGGAGTACGAGAGCAAAACTCGCCGACTGGGTCCACAGAATTAATCCACAGGGCCTCTTTTTGTATCCCCACATATTTTCAGCATATTTATTAGCTCCCCCTTTATTCTTTGCTTGCTTTGTGTACGAATTCCTTTAGCAACTTTCCAGAGCTAAACTTAAGAGTATAAGGACTCGTCCTGCTTGGGACAAATGTCATTCCCACCCCCCACCTCCCATCCGGACCTCCTACACAACACTGCAGCTCTGTGAAGCGGCCTTGGAATCAATGATTTTTCATTTGCTGATGAATATTCAAGTCTTCTTCCTTGTTCGCCCCTTCCCAATCCTCTTTTTTTCTAAATTCCTGCACCCACTTTGCTCCATCGCTGTTTTCACGATGTGCACTGGGGGAAAGAGGCCAGCCACACCCCTCCACTGAGTGGCACTCAATGAGGAGAAGAAAAGGGGAAGTAAAACCCTGCCTGATACTTCCCCTAATGAGCAAATCAATGCATCTGTCCCTCAAGAGATGGGGGGGGGGGAGAGAAGCCTTTGGGACTTTGACGACTAGGCCAAAATACTCACACAGAAGCAGTTACCACACGCTTTGAATAGGAACCTTTTTAAACTTAGCACAACAATGTATCAGCCCAAATGCTCTTATTGAGCAGGGCTGTAATTAATTCAGCAGTTTGACCTACCCACTAGCCTCTCGTTGCCATTACTTGAGACATGCTAATAGTTGAACTTGCTTCATGACTTGAGCTTCATCAACACACAGACCCATGCAACTGCATCCTGAGATCCAAACATCTGTGTGTTGTTGTATTTGAGGTTTATCCAATCAGAGCATTGTGGTTCCTTATTTAACTGTACTTCAAAAGTGATTTCACAAAATGTGGGATCCCTGATGGAGCTTGAGCTGGGACCTGTGTTGGTTGGGTGTGGCTGGGTCTGGGCACACATTCATAAAGACAAGACTCGTCTGCAGCCGTGAACCCCCACTACCACCATTTGTTTTCATGCACACACTCTCACAATGCAGTGGGACAGGCCAGTGTGCAGACTGGTATTGGACGTGCTGACAGTGGCAGCGGCGGGTGGGGCTGTCAAACAGTCTTTGTCCCAATCTGAGAATTTGTAGCAGTTCATGCCTTCATAATGATGTTAAATGAAGCAAGGAAATTCTTGGTAGGCCATGGCCAAAAACACAGCTCCCCTTATGTTCTCTTGACAGTTTTGGCATGAGTAAAAGCCTGCCTGGATCGCAAAGCATCAGACCGAGGTGCAAAGTTGGATTAGCAGCTTGCAGATATTTCAGGGTTAGTGGTCAGTTTCACTGCAGAGTGTCTCAGATAAATCAGTTCTGCAACAATAAATATTAATTAAGAGTGTGCTGCTGTCCTTCTGTTCTGTAGCTTGTTTTATGTTCAGCCCCCCAAGTTGGAGTGATTAGCCTGATTTACACTCAACACATGGTTTGTATTACTTTTTTCTGTCCTGACACACTCTTTTTTGAGATTACCTAGTGACTCTGGTCATGCGACTATGTTCATTGAATTCTCACAGTGGTAGGTGTTATAATAAGAATTTAAAGCTGCAATATCAAATCTGCAAAATAAGCAAGCTTTTAAACACAAACACGGTCATGGAACTCTCACCCCTCTTGTCTACCCCAACCTGCAATAAACCAGAGAGTGCTAAATACAAGTCGTGGTTTTTAGGTCCAAACATCTTTTGTTGTCTGTGACTTTAAGTGGTGTTTTTCTTTTTGGGACATTAGTAGTTTGTTCTAAAGTAGAAATGGCAGCAGCCGACTGTTTCTCATTCTCTGACATTAATGAGTGGAGAACCTCTCACAGCACTGGTGTTCTGTTGCAAAATGCATGAGTGCATAACGAGTGGAGGACCCAGGTAAATGTGGAAGTGCTGTGTTTCAATGAGACGGACAATCGGATGGCCCAATATTTTTTAATTTTTACAATAAATTCATAGCTGTAATATGTTAGAACGTTGTTAAAAGGCATGGGAACAGTTTTAAGCTAGCTACTTTTGCAGATTTGCCATTGTAGCTTTAAGTGAGATGTGTGTGTAATTCATAGATTAAGAGGTTGGGGAGTCCTGTTCACGTCTACTGTTTGTTGTTCTGATTGGTCCAATTTTGACCCCTATTACTTCCTTCAGTTGGAGGTTTTCCTTAGTCTGACATGTTAGTTACAGGTCACCACTTCAAACCAAACCACATTAATATCAAATTTTACTGCATCATTCATATTTACATGGAATATTTATTTTTATTAAGCTAAACTAAAGCAAACATCATTGGAATATCCATCACATTAGAAGTAATTTGGGATATATTTGTTTGAGCAGTTTTCTCTTTTATATGTACAAATTATGAGTGATAAATCTTGCTGCTTCTTGAGTTTTATGTCTTTAGTCGACAATAAAGAATGTAGTGTGGCAGAAAAATGGGTTTTAGGTCTGTTAACTTGATGATCCTGTCTCAGGTCTGATAACATTTTCCACTCATCCTCACTATCACTCATAGAAATTGTGTAGGTATTCATCAAAACCTCCACAGGTACAAATTCAGATACAGACTTGTACAGATTCTAATGGCAGCATTAGAAATAACAGTATAGCACATTTATTATCATCAAAGCCTTTCCTGTGAAAGAAAAATAACAGAAATTTTAAATTATTATGAGATGGTTTTTGCAGTTCCAGCATGTTGTTATATTGCCCTGACTCGTGTGATTTATTTTATCCTTTTTTGTCTTCCTCAGATTTGGTTTGCCTTCGTTAATGGCTTCTCTGGACAGATTCTGTTTGAACGTTGGTGTATCGGCTTGTATAATGTGGTGAGTATCCACTGATTAACTGTAGGACCCTAAACTTATTCCTTTTTTGCACCAGTGTGGCATTTACCTCAAGGAATATTTCTTTGTTATTTATGACCAGATGTCAAGTCCGTACTCCCTCTGTACCCTGAGCTATGTGGTGAATGTCAAAGAGCAACAGCTTTGCTTGAGCCATAGAGTGCAGTTTGTAAAATCAGCCCTGTTAGATTTTTTTAAAGAATAGGAAGACCAGCGCAGCAAGTGATCTGGCCGTTGATTTTGGGAGTCCCACAGGGCAGCGTAACAGGACCACTCCTAATGAACTCATATTTCATATCTGTCACAAATTAAATGGCAAGAAAAAAAGCATGCTCATGTGGCTACATGGAGTTCACATTTATCATATGCATCAAAGCACGCTCCACTCTGTCAACAAAAATGGATGGAAGCAATTTATGCAACGAACTGTCGGTCAATGTGGGCGTCCTGCCTTTTTTTATCAGTTACATAATAAACCACAACCCAGAATAATCACTGCTCCACGTAAGGGACAGAATAGAGTTCACTCTGTTTTTCACACTATTCCCAGAGCTGCAGACATTCCTCTGGCTCAGTGGGAGTCTGTTGGAAGCAGTGGTCTAAATCCACCCCATCAATAGAGATCTTCCTGGGCTTGGTTGTGGATAAGAAAGGAGCCCAATGGAGCATGTCCTGTTGGCCCGCTGGTCCTACAAACTGGTGCCTGTAGCCTCCCACTCCAGATGGGCCTGTGGGGATCTCACACCAACTGCTTCCCCAGTCACACAATACCATCACTCTGCTTTCAGCAGCTGCCATATAGCATATTACAACATCTCTAAAAAATCACACTTCATCTAAACCCAAACACTTGCTTCTTAGTCCAGAACATTGCAGATGTTCATTGGAGGGTAAGCTTTGCATATGAATAGACTGAAAGCATGACAAATCTAAATAAGAAGCCCCGAAGGGTTAATGGTCAGTGGTGTTCAATAACCAAACAGAAGAATACGGTAAGTACATTTAACAGAACAACAATAAAACCTGTGGCGGTTGTGGGAATGAGCAGGCATCTGTTAACTTTAACATTAAAATCAGGTTTTGAATCAGTCTTTAGTGTTTGAGTCAGATTCTAATAAAAAGACCCAAATCCTTACATTAATTTGAATTAAAATATTATGTTTTTGTGCTTTTTCTCTCATTCAGATCTTCACTGCGTTACCCCCTCTCACCCTGGGAATATTTGAACGCTCTTGTAGGAAAGAGAATATGCTGAAATACCCAGAACTCTATAAAACCTCTCAGAATGCAATGGGTTTTAATACCAAGGTAATCTTTTTTGTCATTTCATTTTTATCTTTTAAAACCAAATGTTTTGGAGCACATTTCACTTTATTACCTTCATCTATTCCATGCTCTCTTCTTTATTGATATTAGTTTATCAAGTATTTCCTACTTTAGCACAATGTTGCTCTTTAGTACTCTGGTTTTAGTATTCAGCTGACCTTGGTGACAACATTGACCTTGAAACATTTTACTTCTTGAGAATAAGTCTCCACTAGATTCACAAAGAGGACAACAGCTCCTGCTTCTAAAATCAGTTCCCATCATATTAATGGTAAATGGCCTGTATTTGATATAGCGCCTTCTAGAGTCCTGGAACCCCCCAGGGCGCTTTACAACACAATCAGTCATTCATCCATACACACATTCACACACTGGTGGGGATGAGCTACGATGTAGCCACAGCTGCCCTGGGGCGCACTGGCAGAGGCGAGGCTGCCGAGCACTGGCACCATTGGTCCCTCCGACCACCACCAGCAGGCAATGTGGGTTAAGTGTCTTGCCCAAGGACACAGCGACAGGCTGAGCGGGGCTCGAACCTGCAACCTTCCGATTGCGGGGCGAGCATTTAACTCCTGTGCCACCGTCGCCCCATATTAATGATGGGAGATGTTCCTGAAGTGGAGTTTATCTTCCATCTCAGTGATCTGGCCAGTGTGGTTTGTATGTTGTGGCCTGGTTTGGCGTGTTCTGATGGGTCTGGTTGTGGGAGCTGTCTGTTAGCTTCCCCTGCTGGTAATGAAGCCATCTGCTTCTTTCTCCATGCTGAGCCACAGACTCCTGGACCCTCCTCACAGGCGTGGAGACCTGGTTACCACCATTTGGATGTGGATTAAAGGCAGATTGGCCATGGTGGTCAGTGGCTCAGAAGGTCAAATTGGTTTGGGTAAGCAGCAGAAAGAATGAGTGAGGAGGTAATGAGGAGCACGCTGTCATTCTGTGACAGCATTTGTCGCGGAAAACTATACAATTTGTTTAAGGAAGGGCGCTGTTTGTTCTGAGGCCAAGGCTATCAGATCACGTTTAACCCGGGTGGAGCCGAGTGTTCCACATTAGGCTGACTTCCTTCTGTTAACAAACCTTCTGTTTGGTTTGAAAGTCACTATAGATGTACATCAAACCTTTAGTCCTCAGGTGATACTTAAAAATACAAATCCTCCATAATTCTAATGATAAAGACTCAAACATCCAGTTGGTCAACATAAAAATAATAAACACAATATCTGAGTATATTAAAGAATATTAAAATATTCACACAGTTAGAATATTATATTTGGATAATTTGTAAAACCTTTGTAATAATTATACACTATGTTAAATGAACAATGTGTAGTTCTGGAAATATCCATCAAAATGTTGTTGAAAATGTGTTAAATGATGCCCAGTTGTTGAAAAATATTGGCGGCTTTGTAACATATAAACATCATATAAAAATCATTTCTAAAAAATACATGGGAGCGGGTCTTAGTCTCTGGGCGGCACCATATTAGACACCATGTTTCTCTCTACAGGAGCCTGTGAGGACAACACGCATTTACGGATTTGTAACAGAGGAATGCAAAACTTTCTCCATTCATAAACATTGGTGTTTTACACATTTTCCTCTTCACTCATTGCCAGTGATGAAAGGGAGTCTGGTGACCTTGTTATTTTGCTGGAAGTTGCACTCCCAGGGATTTTGTCCCTAATGGCCATCCATTGGTAAACAGAAAAATACAGCTTGCTTGCAATAATTTAGATATGTACTGTCCCTATCTGTGTTGCCAGTAACACGTTACTCTAAAATGACCATTTCTTTCAGTTTAGCAATCTAACGCATTGCTATTTCCATATCAGGAGTCAAATAAAAGTTACTTGTCCAAGACACTATGCGTTAGTGGTTACTATTTTTTTGTAGCCGTTTTTGTGATTTGCAAAGATGGTAAAATCAGTGACAAAAATAGTAAGCAAGACACATGTAATGTACCATTGGTCAAATTTTCACCAACAAATTGACCAGAAATGAACTTTCATTTGCAGACACAAACACACCATCTGGCTGCCCCAAAACAGAAAACTGCTCCAGTCCTGAGACATAACATTCTCAGTCAAGGTCTCATGCAGACGAAACGTGTTCATCCTCACTCTGATGATTAAGTTCAACCTCCTCAAAATTCCTAAGGGACTTTACAACTTATGGGTTGAAATAATCAAATGTGTTAAATGAATAAGGTGATTAAATCAAATGTTTGAGTAATCTGTGCCTTAATCAATGATAGGTTTAAAAAGAATATCTTTCATTTTGAAAACTGGTACGTTACACACATGTAACCAACAACAGCATGTATACTGTATTCAGAACAAGCAGCATATTGAGCTGCTGAATGACCGAACAGCACCGCGTTCCCTTTCCTTGAAATGGAACCGATACTCGCGGAGCTAAATTAACACCAATCAAACATAGCTGCTTGTTTAAGCTGTTTGAGAAGCAAATTAAGATGGACTTTCCATTATTAATTCTTTAGAATATTTTATTAAGTATTTCTTGTCAAAGAACCGAGTTATTCGTCTGATAGTTAGAAGCAAATGAACCTCACTTTTGTTTGGGCCACATTTTCCAAGACCCATAAATGATGACTCGGGCAGGTCAGCAAGTTGTTTTTGCTGGCCTGTCCCCTCTTTTCCTGAGATATTTTCCTTACAGCTGGCCCGAGGCGAGGCGAGAAAATCCAGCAGGAATTTGGCCCCTTGAAACTTGTCTCTGCACCCCCTGGCTCTTTTGTACACAACAGATACTGTCTTCGTCAATTAAAGCTGTTTGTGTTGAAGTTTGAGCAGGGAGAGGCTTGGGGTGTTGTAGACTCAAGGCGGGGGGGCTACAGCTTTGTCTCTCATTCATTTTTAATTACATATTCAGGGCACTTATGTTACCAAAATAAACAGTCCGCTGATTCAGCCTTAATAATGCCTGCTGTCTAGCAGCAACTATCCCCCGTTTTAAGCTCGTTTCCCCCTTCTTACCACACTCATTCATAAAGAAGTGGAAAGGAGCGGGCAGCTCTGGAAATATTTGGCTCCATATTAATTACAGCCTTTCATGTGTTCTGCTTTTTTTGGCGATTATGACTTTTACAAAGGGCCAAATCTTCACAGGACAGAACAGCCATTCATTCAGAGTGGATCCTTAGTGAAAAAGGAAAGGAGATACCTTGGTGGATTGAGAGCTGAAGGGAACAGTCCCACTGTGACAAATTAATATAAACCTTTGATTTAATTAGCATTCATTAATGGGGAAAGGAAACTGGGATTAGTTTGTTCCCCTGTGGTGTTCAGGACGGCATTAGCCGACACAGAGCTGAGCTTGTCAGCATGAGGCTAATTGGCATAAACGTGTGATTGTAACATTATTTAATACATGTTCAAACATAGAGTTGGAGAAGTGGGGGGGGGGGGGGGGGGGGGTTACCCCTCGCTCTGTGGATTGGATTTTGTGTACACAACGGGAGGGTGAGGTAATCCAGGGTGGGGGATGCTTGTGTGGGATTTTGTTTAGTCAGTAGGAAAGGTGATGAGGTTGTGCCTCTGAGGTCAAACTATACTAAAAAAACAACGTTGTTTTAAATTTATTACAAATCTTTCCCTTTACCGTACATTTTCCTACCTTACTCTGCATTTTTCTTCCTGATCACTCCCAATTCCTGGCAGGATATATGGAATAACCTTAAAGCAATGTAAAAAAAAATTGCTTAAAATACAAAAAAACTTTATAAAACCTGTAAAACTTGGAGTTTTCGAGTCACACACTTGTGACGAATAAGTTTTGCGTTTCAATGAAAAGTTTGCTGAAAAGCCCCCCCCCCCCAATTAAAAAAATCCTGCTTGCTAGCAACCGTTTCATGGTACTTCCTGACGCACTGGCAGCACGCTTTCTGAGTTTGACAGATTTTCGGCCCTCAGAATTAACACCACAGTCTGGGTCAGGAACTAGCGGGGGCACAAGTGCGAAGCGCTTTCTGGCCCAATAGATTTCACGGCTGTTTCATGCTACATTGCTCATTAGTGTTTTGTTTGGCTCTGGCACTGCATAAAGTAAGTTTGAACTTAGGTGGTTTGGATGGGGTGGGGGTACATTTGAATAGACACATACTCACAGACTTTTAATTACCATAAAAACAGCTTCATTCCTGTCTCATCGGTCAGTCATTCTGTGTGTTTCTTGACTCGCTTAAACCTAACTGTTATTTATTACAGCAAAGGTTAAAAAATTGGGATGAAAGCGCTGAAGTGTAAGGAGTGGAGATCCTTCCCTCGCTCCGTACATGTTAAATCAGTTTGATAGTGTTTAAATATACATTTTATATTGATGTTGTCCACTTACCTTTCATTGCTAATACACATACCGGCAGCTTCTCTCTCCCTCGCACTCACAGAGGATATACAACGTGTCTGTCAGCGGGGTGGCCATTGAGAGAGGAGGCCCCGACAAAACCGCCACTTAGCCCAGCGCTGGGTTGGCACAAAGGGTCCAGGTCAGGGGTCACCTGGAAAGCTGGAGCTCCCCGCACCCTTTCACATGCAGTTTTTTTCTTCTCACTTTGTCTCTGCCCCCTCCTCCTCCCTCTTCTCCCCCCACCTCCTTACCCTCCATCTTCTGTTTTGCAGGTCTTCTGGGCCCATTGTCTGAACGGACTCTTCCACTCAGTCATTCTCTTCTGGTTCCCCCTTAAAGCCTTCCAGCACGGTTAGTGGCTCCTGGAGATTCTTCCACCTCTCCCAGTGGATAAAAGAGGAAAACGGTCAAACACACATACTTTGTCTTAATTACTGCTCTCTTCAACTGTCCCGTCTCGAATTGCAAACATGTGGTGTCTCCGGTCTGAGCAACGTGCAGTAACTAGCATAACTGCATGTTTCCACCGGTGCAATTACAGGCACATCATTTTTCATCATTTTGCACCTTGTAGATGAGTCTGTTACGTCAGTTGATACGCAAATCTGGTGTTTTATAATATTTAAATAAGTGTATGTTTAATTTGTGAGACCTTTAGCTGTGTGTGTGTGTGTGTGTGCGTGCGCGCGCGTGCGTGTGCACAAAGAGACTAGGCATCCTTAAGCCTGTGAGTGTTGGCTGGCCAGAGCTAAGGACCACACAAGTTTGGGTCTGCTTTCCAAACAAAGGCACCAAACCCCTTCACTCTGACTGACGGGCTGTCAGCAAAGCCTCAGCACACACTAGATGTGACCAGCCGGAAGTGAAAGAAAACGGAGCCTCTACCTCTTTGTCTCTTCACATTTTCACGCTGTTTATAATTTAACCACAACCCAAACTCACAGCGACGGTCTGAAACCAAGCTTCTGTGTGTTTATTTTCATCTTATTTGGCAATATAGGTCCCATTTTTACTGGCCACATAAATAACCATTTTTCTGCTGAAAGATATCGGTTCACTCTGGTGTAGGAATGATTTAGTCAAGACGTTTACTTTCTGACCCTTAAGACTTAACATCAGTTCTTTTTTCCAGCTCTAGTTTATTATAGGTCCTTCACTGTAGAAAAGACTAGATTAATATTCCAACTTTACTCAATCGTCAGTGATGGAAGGAACATTTGACTGTGATTTTCTCTTTAACTGTTCTTCTCTGGGCGTCTAACCGTCTAACAATGCAGTTCCCACTGTGATGCACTTAAAATAATATCCAGTGCGTGCTGTGAGAAACATTGAGAGATGCAGAAAATACAACAACATCCCTAAAAGCTTGCGTTGCTGATTCTCTTAACAGATACAGTGTTTGGCAGCGGACAAACTCCAGACTATCTCCTGTTAGGCAACATGGTTTACACAGTAAGTGCATCGGTCTATGTGTTGAGTTCACTTGTCCAGTTTCTGCTGAATAAACACCAGATGTACTTTCATTTCTTGGGCTTTCCCTTTGATAACAGAAATAGGAAACTTTATTCTAAAAGTGATCAAAGTAGAATGAAAACACAAGTTAAAAATGTGAGCAGTTGAATGATGATGTGGTGTGTACCTCTGCAGTTTGTGGTCATCACAGTTTGTCTTAAAGCTGGGGTTGAGACGTCATCCTGGACCATGGTAAGTTATGGACTCTTCCTGTAATTGTGTTGGATCTGTCCTTTTAAGTAGCCGTTGATGCTTGTGATATGTTTTACATCCTCTCCTTAACTCTGCATCATTTTATTGGTTTGTTCCCAGTTGGTTTGTAACTGTTAAACCAGGACAGCGTATGGAAAGTTAGTCAAGTTTTAAGGATGCGCCTGTTTAAGCTTTTAAGCCCAGATGATAAAAACTACAGGTCATCATTATTGAAATAAAGCATTTTAAAAGATTTGGAAGCATTATTTCTGTCAATTGTTTCCCCGCTTTAATAATATCGATTGTTGTTGATTTTCTTATGATTGTAAAGTTCAATTAGTCCCCTTTAATGAAGGATTTGTCTAGTAAAGACGGTGCTTCTGTGGAAAGAGCAACATAGCTAAGTTTGTTAACATTATTCCCAAAATGTCTGTCAAAATCTCTTAAAAATTCTAACGTTGGTCTTCAGATTTGTTTTTGGTTGCGTGGTAGATTGCAGGATTGCACTTTTTTTTTGTTCCCACCAAAATAAGAGAACAACACAACATATTGTTTATATTTACAGCTATTAATTTCACAGTCCAGGATGTCAGCTTAGCTCTTCTTCCTTTTGCTGGTCATACTTTGCAGTGAAGTACCATCCCATTCATCTGAGTGAAGCTGTTTAAGGTCAACCAGTGTGGTGGTGGTTGTTCCAGCTCAGCGATTCCGCATGTCTTTGTCCAAGACAGGCCTGCCCCCCCAACCTCAACTTCTACCAGCATGCACACATTAAAAGTGATTCATTACAAACATTTGCTTGCAAAAAATAAAAATCATTTGTATAGTTTTGTACATATTCTCCTTGTTTTAGACTTTAGTGTGTGTTATTGGGATTTTATAAATGTAATATTTACAAATATAAATATGACCTTCCAACCTCAGCACTGGTGAAATTATGACAACCCCTGGTGATTGCTAGTGAACTCCCTTGGAGTGTTGCGGACCCTAGGTTGGGAACCATTGTTATAGGTTGTATAAATGAATCCCAGAATATTAGTAAATTGTGCCAAAGTTCATTTGTGTCATAATAATAATAATAATACATTTTATTTATAATGCGCTTTAAATTACAGAAGTAACCTCAAAGTGCTACAGAGTATAGGGGACAGGTATAAGGTACACTAGCTAGTTAAAAACACAGTTAAAATTTCAGGATACTATCAAGTATGGAAAATAAAAACAGTCCCCAGAAGTACATAAAACCCATCTAAAAAGTCATTACAGTAGATGCAAACAACAAGTAAAAACAACACAATAAAGTAAAACACTCAGGTTGTTGTGCATTAAAAAGCCTTATTAAACAAAAGGGTCTTGAGGCCTTTTTTGAAAAGCTCCACAGATTGTGTGGCCCTTCGAAACTCTGGGAGAGAATTCCAAAATTGAGGGGCCACTGCCTTGAAGGACCTGTCTCCCATAGTGGAGAGTTTAGTCAGTGGTTGGTGTGAAGAGGTGGTAGAGCAGATGGTTCTTGTGGCAGTGTGTGGGATGAGAAGTTCGCTCAGATAGGCAGGAGCAGTTCCATGGATGCACTGGTGAGTAAGAAGGCCAATTTTGTACTGAACTCCATATTGGATGGGCAGCCAGTGAAGTGATCTCAGAACTGGAGTGATATGATCGTATTAGACTGAGAGACCATCGAAAGCAGTGAACCTCAACGGGCCACATCTGGCCCGCCAGACCTCTCCGCCTGGGCACCCACAATCCTTTGGGCCGTAATGCCCCCCAATGGGGGACTTTGAAGTTTAGCTGCAAAGTTAACCTCCCAAATATCAATAATTGTTTATGCTCTCCAAACACAACTAAAACTACAATGAAAACAGTTTAGATGGAAAACAAAACCATTTTAAATATCAAAAAGTCAAGATGCAATAATACTTGAACTTTATTTTAGAAGAGCATCTGTCCCTCTTGCTGTCTGCTGGGAAAAAACTCTTGACAAAAACAACTAATGCTGCCACTCCGAATCTGAACACCAACGGTTTTCTTAAAAGGACAAAAGTGGCAAGGACCCAAACACACAAGTACTGTCAATCAGGTGCCAGTCTGAACACCTGTGACTGCTTCATACCTGGCAGTTCTCACAGCTCAAAACAACAGGGAATACCAAAAGAATGTACAAAAAAAAAAACCACAGTTTATTTTTTCTTCTTTGGGAAAAATTTGGTTTTGGTTCCACGGCACCACCATGCTTCTCGTCCATTATTCAAGAAGAGGAACGATTGGCTAAAATATTGTTTCCAATTTCTGTGAGAAGAATAATAAATGTGATGGACTAATATAACATCAGCATGATAATTCAACATAAGAGAGACATTTAAATATCTACTTTTCTGTTCTCCAACAGTTCAGTCACATTGCCATCTGGGGAAGCATCATCCTCTGGGTGGTGTTTTTTCTTATCTACTCCTCTCTGTGGCCAATCATAACGCTGGCACCCGACATGTCAGGCGAGGTAAACACACACACACAAACACACCATCTTTTTCTCAGCGCTATAACTCTGTGACGCCGATAGACCCGTAGCACCCTATTCCGTTTCTTCTGACAAGCGCTGGTGGGAAAGTTTAGAAAACTCTTTCTAAGTAGAGCCAGAGGAGCCTAAACTTTCAGACTTCTGGCTTGTGTTGCATAATGACTTAATTGGGCTAATTTTCCCCAGTGTTTGTGTTGCATTTCCCTCCCTCGGCTCTGAGTATCCACAGGTGACACTGAAATAATGACGTCTGCTAATTAAACCGAGACAAATGAGGTCAACAGATGTCATGAAAACCCGCAACTCTCATAATCAGAAACCGAGTAAAAAAAAAACCTCCACGGTTCATTAAATGAACATTGGGGTGTTGGACTGCAGCTGTCCAATAAGTGATGAAAACTACTATTTTGGATAAATTCTTGGATAAAGAAGTAATTGAAAGCAAGATATTTTTAAATTGACAGATTTTTTTGTTACATTTTTAAAATACAGTTGACTTATTTTTACTCCCAGCACATGTTCTGTTTCTGTGTGCAACACTGCAGCAGTATTTTGGCTTCGTGTACATGTGCATTTGTGTGTTCTGGACATTTGCATGTGAGTGACCTAATCCCATAACAACATGCACATGAGCTGCTTTTTTCCCTCTCTCTCGCTCAGTCCCTTCCTTTATCAAACACACTACCAACAGGTATGTTAGCTCCATCATGTCTCCTGTTTGGACAGCCTGCTGCTTTCATCCATCCCCTGTAGCACTTTACTGAAGACAGTAATGGTGTCCTGTGGGTAGGTGGTAACTCTATGCCCAGCTCTAATTTGGGATGCCAGTTTATCATCAAACAGCGACACATCCCTCCGAAACCCGAGAGCACATCAGAGATATGATCTCCGCTGCCCCTGTAGCCTCTGAGGAGCAGGACTATCATCGACTCCGATGCTGGCCCACATATTTCACCACGGCCTCTTCATTGTTTACTCAGATCCTCCAAAAAATATTTGCCCTCTGTCCTTGTGTCTATTTTCTTTCTCTCTCAACATTTTCTTCTGTTCTCTCTAGTTCACCCCCACTCAGCAGTAGCCTCAGGTCCAACTGTATAACAGACACCAGAGCTCTTTCTCCTGCTGTTTCTGCTCTCTCTCTCAGTACCCAGCCTGCTGCCCTTAACTAGAAACACTACGCAGAGCTCAGCCGTATGTGGACGCATTAATCAGCGTCAGGCAAAGTATTCTTTGAACGACGGAGAAGACAGGTGCGGCATCCATCCATAAAATGCTCTGAACCTGCTTGTCTCAGGTACCCCCAGAATGCCTCAGCCTCAAACTGAGCTTCTCATCCTGTTTTCACCTGACAAAGATCTGACATACATATCAATAGAGCCACGCTTTGACTCTGTACAGACAGTGTAATCTGCTTCACTAAGAGGCTTAGCTTCACCTCTGGAGATTCTTCACGGAGCGTCGGCTGCACTGACCTGCTGTCTGAGTTGCCTCTGATATCAGCCTTGATGTTTTCAGCACAGTTTATCCTTCTTGCTCCCGACACACACCTTTGCTATTTTTCAGTTTTTGCAACAAGCTGTTCTGAAGCAGCTCCGTCAGACTCGAGCACCTGTCATCAGCTCATAAATCTGACGCTCGGCCAGTGTGCATCAGATTTTTCTGAGGTGGAAAAACGTTTTCTCAGAGGAGAATCATTTTGCCTGGAGTTTGGTTTAAGAATGCCAGGAATACATTTAGTGCCGTTTCTGCCCTTCTGATGTATTGATAGGATTGACATCAGGAATGAAAACTTATTTTCCAGAGAAGGGATAAAATTCGATAATTTTCTTTGTTTAAACTTTATTTTTGATGGCTGGCTTGTAATGTGAGTCTAAATTATTAATAGTTTCATTTTGTGAAGGAATTAAAACATAATCTTTCTAAGACTGAATGTAACAACCTTTACTTTTCTAATGGATAGTGCTGTTTCTTTTTTCTTTTCTTTTTTTTTGCTACTTGCTTGTAGTTAATCATCATTTATGAGGCATTATATATTCTATGCATTTAATCAAATGTGTGTCTTTTTTGGGCATAAATCCATTCGGAGAAAGCTAAAGCATGTTTTAGACATGTTTTCTGTCCTGTTTGGTTTTCAGTTGGAGCTGCTTGTTGTTGTTTGCAGTCGACCTGAAAGAACAAAAGACATTTGAAAAGAAGCTGCTGAGTTTCCACAAACCAGCCTTGCCAGTGATGGATTTAGCCGTCTGACACAGAGCGTCTAAACATGGATGGAATATATTGCTTCTTTCTGTCACACTTGAAGGGTGCTGGGCACAGGCTGACCTTTTATTCACTAGACAACGTCAGACCAATAGATCTTTGAGAGAAAATGACACATTGGATTAGAGAATCTGATCAGAGACTTTTCAGAGATCAGTAGTGTGTTTTTGTTTGTCTGGCCAGTGAAACATTGAGATTTTTTTTCTTTTTATTTCATTCAAAATAAAAACAAATAAAACATATAAGCAATAAGAAATGCATAACAAAAAATCAAATTTGAACGAAAAGGAGCAGAGTGAAGAAAAACATCTTATAATTTCTGCCCCCTTTTCCAGAAGAAATAATCAATTTATATACAATTTCCATTTGTCAGACACACATACAGATTAATTTTAAACTATTTTCTGTTCTAAATTCCAGTGCGATCATGATCATTGATTTAATTTACATTTTCATAATTATTTAGTACACTCAATTTGGTACATTTTTTGAATATATTAAATGACAGAATTTTTTTAATTTCCCTTTTAAGGTTATTCCATAATTTAACACCATTTACAGATATATTCCATTCCTTAATTTTTAGTTCTAAATCTAGGTTTTGTAAACACACCAGTTTCTTTCAGCATGTAATTACTAGTTCTCTTTTCAAATATCCCCTGAATGTTTGTTGGCAGAGTACTTAAATTGACTTCATACATGGTTTGTATGATTTTCCTGTCTTTTAAATCATGAAATTTCAGTAATTTATATTTAATAAACAATGGGTTTGATGGATCTCTACAGCCACTATAATTGATGATTCTCAGAGCTCTTTTCTGTAAAATAAATACAGGTTGTGTATAGTTTTTGTATGTTGCTCCCCAGATTTCTACACAATAAGTCAAGTGTGGAACAAGCAGTGAATTGTACAATGCCAACAAACCAGAATTAGTCAGTAAAAACTTGAGTCTATGTAATACTCCTAAGGATTTGGCAATTTTACCTTTTATGTAACTAATATGGGATTTCCATGACAAGTCTTCATCAATAAGAACTCCAAGAAATTTAGTTTCTTTTACTCTTTGAATTTCAATCCCATCTATTTCCAATGACACATCACTGTTCTTTTTATCATTAAATAGAATAAAATGTGTTTTATTAAGATTCAGTGTCAATCTATTTATATCAAACCAGCTTTTAATTTGAATCAGTTCATCATTTATCACTTTAGCCACCTCCTCAATATTTGATCCTGAGTAAAACAGTGTTGTATCATCTGCAAATAGAATGGTACAGAGTGTCTTAGATACATTTACCAAGTCGTTAATAAACAAAATGAACAGTTTTGGTCCGAGGACCGACCCTTGTGGCACTCCACAATTAATTTCACATAGTTTTGATTTATGGTCCTTTATCTGAACAAACTGTTTCCTTTGTTCTAAATCAGTTTTAACCCATTGATGAGCCACACCTCTTATTCCATACTGACTTAATTTTTGAAGTAACCTTGAGTGATCAATGACGTCAAATGGTTTTTTCAAATCAATGAAAACACTAACAAAGTCATTTTTATTGTCAATTGCTGTTGATATTTTATCCGTTAATTCCATTATTGTCATTGCTGTGGAATGTTTAGTTCTAAACCCATATTGTTCATTGTTTAAAATATAATTTTTTTCGATTAATTTATCCAACCTTGATTCAAATCCTTTTTCCAATATTTTAGAAAACTGTGGAAGCAGTGACACCGGCCTGTCATTATTGAAACTATGTTTATTACCACTCTTATACAAAGGAATGGCTTTCGCTGCTTCCATTGCGTCAGGAAATTTTCCAGTAGAAATTGATAGATTACAAATGTAAGTGAATGGTTCAATGCCAGATTCTATGATGGTTTTAACAGTTATCATGTCCAGGTCCTGATAATCGGTTGATCGTTTGTTTCCACATTTTTTTTTATTTATTTTTTTTCAATGTTTCGCATTTCTTCTTTATCTATGTTATCAAGAACAATACTATTGATGGTACTAATCATTGTGGTCAATTTATCTTCTATTATTGGTTTGTTTTCCATCAAACTCCTACCTACATTTACAAAAAAAATCATTAAAGTCATCAGTGATTTCTTTATCATCATAAATATATTTTTTGTCCTTGACAAAGTGATTTGGAATACTGGATTTTGTTTTCTCTCTATTAGTCACACTGTTTAGTATTCCCCAAGTAGCTTTTGTGTTATTTTTGTTCTGATTCAATAGATTACTATAAATACCATAAATTCCCTGTGTGTTGAATGAAATGGGTATTACTGAATCCTTTTCAGCACTGGTTGACTTCCCTGGTGTTTTTATATCAAGAGTTGGTGATTGTCGGGGTTCTGTTCTTCTTGGCTAATGATTTGTAAAAATAACAAAGGATAAGGTCAGTGTCATAACTTTAATGTACTGCCTGAACGAAGGAAACAGTTTTCGTCTCCTACAGACACAATAAATCACATGTACAGTCAGGCGAGAGTGTTTAGAAAGATGTTTCTTTGTTTTCCTAGTCTGTCTGACTAAAGGAATGGAAGGAAGATCCATCTGAGAAAGTCACTGTTTTCCTTTGTGTCTTTTCTGGTTTGTTTCTGTCTTTTGATGCCAGCTTTTTTGTTTTCTGGCTTTGACTAAAGGAGTTGTGGTTCTGTTAGCAGGGATTATGTGTTCACATTTGTTTAGATTATGCAGCAGAGAACCCGTGTT